ACTGAATTGTTATATAGTTTTGTTTGTTTTGTTTTGTTTTGTTTTTGCCTGTCTCTATTTGTAAGCAGCATGAAAGCAACAGTTTTGTTGAATTCACTACTATGTCTCCAGTCCTCAGAGCATTGCCAGACAGATAATAATTTTTGATTGATATAATGAATAAATCAATGTGTGCATATGACAGTGAGTGGGACAATGAGTAGATCCAGGTGGTAGTATTAGAAAAGGTGGTCAGAAAGGAATTCTATGAATAATTCAGATTTATTCTAGGCTTTGCATTTGTAGCTACAATCATGCCCAGGAAATAATAAGACACTGTAGAAGTGATGCACAAATATGAATTACAAAAAATAGAACACAGATTTCTTGTAACTTCAGGTACCATGTACCTTTTTCAGCTGTACTCTGCTTTGAAAGGTGCCATGAGACTAGCTCTCAAAAAACTTCATTACCAATAGTCTCTTAGATACCCAGCTTGAGTTTGCTGAAAAATCAGTTTGTTGTTTGTTTGTTTGTTTTCTGGGCAGATGATATTGGTAGTATGTTTGTAGGGAACCTAGTCTAAACAATCTACGTTTTTTTTATAGTTTGTATTGCATTGATTCCTTTCCTTGGGTCAATTAATCACCAAATGTTTATCATAATTTAAGTTTATAGCCTCAAGACTTTTCCTATCTTTGCCATAGGAGAATGATTAAAACCCAAGGAGCAGTGGAACGCAGATTGCTGCAACGATGTAATGATGAACATGTTGGTTCTTATGTGGGTTTTAGGGAGATCCACCTTAGACTTCACATCCAGTGGAACCATTCAAGGACTCAAAATTGAGCTGAGACTAATTGTTTTTTAGTTTGGAAAAACATTAATATTATTATTGTTTTTATTTAATATCTGAGAGTTGAAGATATCATAATATTCTTTCTTTAGTGGGAAAGAAATCTTGGTTTTTCTGCTGTATTTTTCTGGATAAATCTTAAAATCATTGTTTTGAATATTGTCAAGGTCATTATTGACCTATTGCTATCTTCTATATTCTATATTCATAACTCCATTTTCTTCTTAATGGACTTATAAGAATAATTTGACACGATTGATATTTTCCTTTCCTTTATAAACATTCTTCTTGTGGCTGCTAAAGAAATATTGCTAGCAATACCATTAATATTAAAATTCCCATCTTCACTACCTCTAGAGGGCTTCCACAGACTCCACCACTATTAATCTTCTCCTGTGAAATATACATAACAATGATTTTTGTCTCATATTAATGTTCTTGGGTTTTTTTTAAATTAGCCATATTTGTAACTATAATATGGAGCATCCTATGTGATCTGATTTGATAGTGGAGGATTTATGCAGAATGTTATTTTTATGAGCCTGTATTGAAATTGCATACTTACTGGTGAAATTTCACATACATATTCATTGCCAGAATTATGTCTTCATTCACTAAGATAGTCTAATTTTTATTTTGTTTAAAACAAAGAGATCAAAATTTCAAATTCCAAGATACTGAATAGATTAGAACTAGAAATAAATTAGTTTTTTTTCACTGTTCCTTTTATTTCAATTCAGAACAATATAAAGTGTGCAGGCATTATCTATGCTGGCTCACATTACCCTTTATTTTTTCAGTGGGTTATAAATAGGAAGTCAGAATCATTTAAGACCATGATTTATCAGAAGAAAACCACATTTTTATTTGTTGCAATTTCAAAGTGCACTTTTTAACAAAGCTTTACACAGATCTTAATGCAACTTACTTTGACATAATACCTAACACATGATTCATTGATTACATTTTCATTCCTTAAAAAGAAAAGAAATGAACTTTGCAGTATTATTGGAGTTTTTAGGCCTGCTGACACAGGGACTTCAAAACTGATTAGCATTGAGAGTATTTGAACTTAAATTTTGTGATTTTTTTTACTTAGCATTCATAAGAGGAAATAAGTTTATAAAGCAAAAAATTACTTTTGACATATGTATTTTTTCATATGAAAATCAATTAAAAACCTAGATTTATTATCAGTTTCAGGGGAGTTGACTTTAATATAATAAAAGTATAAATTATAGCATAGATATCTATTACTTTCATAATAACAGAAATAAGAATTCTGTTATATCATATAATATTCAATAACAAAAAATTCTAAATTGAAATTACTTGAATTCATTTTATTTTAAGAATTTTATTTTTTTGGTAGGGATGGTAATGAAAATCTAAATTGTAAAAAGAATGATTCATTCATTATCCCAACAAAACAGACTTGGTGAGTAAAGGCAGATATTAATAGCAAGTGTGTGGCAGCACTGAGCACAATGACCAGATCAGCATAGATGATTATTAAACATTAAGCAAACATAACTAGATAGATTGTTTTTGCATGTTTCACAAATATAATTAGGTTAATTAATAAAAGCAAATGTTAATATAAGTGAAATAATATAAGTGAATATCAGTGAGTTAAAACACACCACTTGATGATTTGGTGTTCTGACTACAGCTTAGTGTAAAGGAAATTGGCAGGCTGATTTCTGACACAAGTACCTTTCAACTTTCTTTTTTTTCTTTTTTTTTATTGTTGTTCAGTTACAGTTGTCCCCATTTTCCCCCAGTTGCTCTACCCTGCCCCATCCAACCCCCACACCCAAAGACATTCCCCACCCCATTGTCCTTGTCCATGGGTCCTTTGTACATGTTCCTTGACTTGACCCTTCCTCTTCTTTCCCATATTATGCCCCACCTGCCTCCCCACTGGTCACTGTCAGTTTGTTCTTTATTTCCATGTATCTGATTCTATTTTGCTCATTTGCTTTTAGGTGAGGTTACATGGTGTTTGTCTTTTATTGCCTGGCTCATTTCACTTAGCATAATACTCTCTAGATCCATCCATGGTGTTGTAAAGGGTAGGTGTTCTTTCTTTCTGCTGCATAGTATTCCATTGTGTAAATGTCCCACAGTTTTTTTTATCCACTCATTTACTGATGGGCACTTAAGTTGCTTCCTATTATAAATTGTGCTGCTATGAAAATAGGGCTGCATAGGTTATTCTGAATGGGTGTTTCAGGATTCTTAGGGTATAGTCCCAGCAGAGGGGTTGCTGGATCAAAAAGCAGTTCCATTTTTAGTTTTTTGGGGAAATTTCATATCTTTACCACAGTGCTCAACCTTCTTTTTCTGTATTCCAGCAGGGACTCACATGAGCAAAACCTTCAGATCCACTTGTGAACTGGTGCTCTCTAGTGGTTGTGTGAGGCCTTAAGGAAAGAGCCAGCTTCTTTGTCACTGTGAGATGGACAAACCTGTGGAGAATGAAGTTCAAAACTCTCATGCTGCTCTTCCCGCAAATATTTCCTTCCCCCAACTGAATACATTTACCAAGTTCTACCTTCTTATTTGATCTTTAGCCAAACACTAATGAAGCCTCCTTGCTCCAGTCTTTGGGTTTCCATTCTAGATTTGCTACAATTGCCAGAGATTTGGGATCTAGTTGTTTAAATTTTAAACTACTTTATCTTAATGAAAGAAGTTAGTTTTTCTAGAACTGTGTTACTCTTTTTAGTTTGGGCCAAAGTGAATATTTTACATTGATAGAAAAATTGCAAACTAGATTTGGTGATGATTATGAATATTTATATATTGGCTAAAATTCATCCAATCATGTACATATAATAAATGCACTTGGTTTTTAAATTAGACCTCACTAAAGCTAAGTGAAAAAAATTCATATTTCTGCCCTGCTTCATAAATATTGGGCATTCTTTTCAAATATCAAAAAGGATCATTGTAAAACATGGTTTCTTTACTAAATTCTCCCCAATATTTTAAATACAGGGGTGGGCAAAAGTAGGCTTACAGTTGTTCATGTGGAAAATAATATAATAATTAATGAAAAATAATATAAGAATAAACTCTGCATTTCACATCATTGAAGTTGTAATCCTGGTTTTGCCAACCACTGTATATTTTGAATGTCTTTAGAAAACCAAAAATTGTCAGTTAATTTCTGTTCAAGTTATCTAATTATATCATTATTATAATTTGCAATGTTGATTTAGGATCAGAAAATAATTTAACTGTTAGGTAATTGCAAGGTAGTATGTTGAATTAAATATTTGTGGATGAAAATGCTAAGCCTGACAAACTCAGGGGAGGCCTGTGTGATGGCCTTGCAGACTCGGAAGCCTAAAGTAGCCACACCGGATGGTGTGAAGTGAAAAACTTTCTAACTAAAAGCGGGTCGTGGCGGGCGGTAATGTCTTACGCTGGAATCTTCCATGACAAAAGTTAACCTTTACGTCAGTTGTGCCTACTGTCTTTTTGTACCTATGATAACACACATTTGGAGTGTCAAATTTCCTTTTTCTGGATCCCCCAAAGCATAGGCACTGCACCAGAGAAACACTGCACACCTCCTCATTGTTATTGTTAATTGTTGAGTGTTAACTATCATGTACCACCTGTGTGAAAGAAGTATGTGTTCATCATTTTACTTTTTATTCAAGCACCAGTTTGCTTTCTCCTGTATCTTTAATCTATCATTGATAGATTTCATGTAACCCAATTATGCCTCCTCTTTTAATTTTAACGTATAAAATAAGGTGCGAAACAGCCATTTTCCAGAGTGATTTCTCAGTCTGTTGAGGTTTGGCTTCTCAGCAATTGTCAGTTTGGCTCAAAAAAACTCATAAAAATTCTCACTGGTTTGGATGTTTCTCATATTGACATGTTAATGTATTAGGGAACATAATCGAAAATACTCACATATTTTCCATTCCCCTGACTTTACAAATTATCAGAAGAAATTTTTAAAAGGACAAATATAATATTAAATTTAATATATAGTGTAAATTTGAGAAATTGTGGTATCTAGGTCATGAGAAAAATAAAGCAAAACATTTCCTCTGAGGTTTTCACCAGAGATGAAACTGTGAAACCTTGTATGTATCCTGGGTGGACAATGTGAGGACAAGTCAGTAGTTTGAAGACAATTCTCTGACTGGCATCAGGTTTATTATTTTCTTAATATACATCATATTAAAAAACAAAATATACACATACACACACGCTTATCACACTGAAGATGCGAGATGAAGAAAGATACATGACATTGAACATGCATTTGAAAAGAAGGAGGTCGATCCAAACATCTGAACTTACATATAAAGGTACGGAATTCAGTTTTTCCAGGTGGTGCAGATTAATATGGGTGTGGATATAATATAGGTTAATATTAACATGAATATTAATGTGGTTAGGGATTTCTAATATCTGTTCTTGAATTGTTTTGTTTTATTTTTTTGATGTTTTTTCTGTTTGTCTTCATCTTGTCTCTTATCTGCCTCTTTCATTTATCAATGTGGGACTAACATTTGTGTTTAAAATAATATTTTTTCTCATATAATGACTTTTACTTTTTAATTTTTATTGTTGTTCAATAAAAATTACTGTACAGCTGTTTCCATTTCCTGCCACCACTCTCCCCCTCCCCGCCGATCCTCACCTCCCACCCTCAATTTTACTCCCCTTTGACTTTGTCCATGTGTCCTTTATACATGTTTCTTGACGACCCTTCCCCTGACTTTCCCCATTATCTCTCCCCACCTTCTCTCTAGTTACTGTCAGTTTGTTCTTAATTTCAATGTCTCTGGTAATATTTTGCTTGTTTGTTTTATTGATTAGGTTCCAGTTAAAGATGAGATCATATGGTATTTGTTCCTCACTGCCGGGCTTATTTCACTTAGCATAATGCTCTCCAGTTCTATTCATGCTGTGGTGAAAAGTAGGAGTTCCTTCTTTCTTTCTACTGTGTAGTATTTTATTGTGTAAATGTACTAGAGTTTTTTGATCCATTCATTTACCGGTGGGCACTTAGGTTGCTTCTAGCACTTGGCTGTTGTAAATCGTGTTGCTATAAACAATGGACTGCATAGGTTCTTTTGAACTGATGTTTCAGGATTCTTAGGGTACAATCCCAGCAGTGGAATTGCCAGGTCAAAAGGGAGCTCCATTTTTTAGTTTTCTGAAAAAATTCCATACTGTTTTCCACAGTGGCTGCACCACTCTGCATTCCAACCAACAGTGCACTAGGGTTCCCTTTTCTCCACAACCTCGTCAGCACTTGTTGTTTGTTGATTTGTTTATGATGGCCATTCTGACCAGTATGAAGTGATATCTTATTGTGGCTTTAATTTGTATCTCTCTGATGGCTAGTGATGCTGAGCATCCTTTCATATGTCTCTGGACCCTCTGTATGTACTACTTGGAGAATGTCTGTTCAGGTTTTGTCCATTTTTTAATTGAATTGTTTGTCTCTCTGTAGTTAAGTCACATGAGTTTTTTATATATTTTGGATATTAAACCCTTGTCTGAGGTATCATTGGTAAATATATTTTACCATAAGGTTGTTTCCCTTTTCATTTTGCTGATGTTTTCTTCAGCCATGCAGAAGGTTTTTATTTTGATGAGGTCTCATCTCATAAAATATAAAATAATAAACATAAAATATATGTTTATTCTTTTCTTTATGTCCCTTGACTAGGGGACGTAACTGAAAATATTGCTGCATGGAATATCTGAGATTTTCTTGCCTATGTTCTCCTCTGGGACTTTAAGTCTTTTATCCATCTTGAGTTCATTTTTGTGTATGGTATAAATTGGTGGTTGAATTTCATTTCTTTGCATATATCTGTCTAGCTCTCCCAACACCATTTATTGAAGATGCTATTTTTATGCCATGTTATGCTTCTGCCCTGTTGGTCGAATATTAATTGACCATAAAGACACAGATTTATTTCTGGTCTCTCTATTCTTAGGAGACTCTCAGAAAAATATATGCATTAAATTAAAATAAATAATTAAAGTTATTATTTGCTGTCGGTCATTCATCTGCTTATTATTCATAAAATATGGTATTTTTAATACCAATTTTTAATTCAGCCTGCCAAGACTTTAAAATATGTTTTGCACCAGGTGAATAATTTTGTTTTTCAGAAATAGAGATATTAGCCTGAAAGGTCACAGAATGTAGTGGCTCCTCTGTACAAACCTTTTCACATTCATTTTGTAGATATCACTCAGAAACCAAATGTGTTTTGTGCAAAAAAGGAGCTCAGCAAGCTACAAATAATAAATTTGCAACTTTTAGTTAATTAAGTAGTATGAGCTAATATTTATGTTTTACTAATGTATCCTTTGTTAATATTTAATAAAGCTTGGTAAAATTTAGTAAAGCTGGGGTAAAACATTACATTTGAATCTAATTGACGATTTAACCCTTGTTATTATACATAGTGTTTTACCTAACTTTGTAATTGTATATTTGTATACCATTTTTCAAATCATGGCAATAATGATAATAAAAAGTTATATTTTGTCATATATATAAAGTTTCAGAATAATTATAGGTAGTATTACTAATAATATAATAATTTAAAACAGATTAAAATGTACCCGAGGGTTTTCTAATCGTTTGTATATACTCCATTATACTTTCACAGTCAAATTATCTTTTGAAATTACTTAAGCCCTGAATGGTGTGGCTCAGCAGGTTGGACATTATCCTGTAGACCAAAAGGTTGCCAGTTTGATTCCTGGTCAGGACACATGCCTGGGTTGAGGTCCAGGTCCCTGGTTGGGGACATGAGAGAGACAACCAATCGACGTTTCTCTTGAACATAGGTATCTCTGTCTCTCTTTTCCCCTCCTTTTTGCTCAAAATAATCTTTAAATAAATATTTTAAAAAATGAAATTACTTGAAATATTTCTACTAACTAATGCCCAGTTAGGGTTCTTTACTTTGTATTTCATTTTAGTTATGGAACACTTTAAAATTTTTGGCTTATCTTATTTTTATTTGTGTATAGGTAAACATTTTGAAATGATAATTATATTATGCATGTCAAACAGTATAATATAATTATTTTTTAATTATGTAAAAACATGTATTTTCAAAGTCAAATCTGTATGACAAGGTAATTGCAGAGATTTCCAGCTCCCATCTTGTCCCTTTCATCTTATTCCACATGTGTATTCAGCCAGTACCCCTGCTGTTGGACATTTATGATGTTTGCATCTTTTATTATATTTCTACTATAAGGCATTGCACATATATTTTTTCATATTTTTCTAATATATCACTGGAGCATATTTCTAGAAGGCATATTATTGCGTAGCCATGTAAATACCTATAGAATTTTGCTAGTTGTTTTTCCTCAATATTTCTCTTTAGCATTGTACCATTTCACATTTCCATCTTTTAAATCTCTTAATTGCTTAATCTCATGGTTAGGTCACTTGTTTGTTTTTCCAATTAATTTTACAATAAATTTTGCAGACATTCAGCCCAAACATCTAAACCAAAACAAACTGGTGTAGTTCAGTGTACTAAATTCCTTCCTACTTTATCAATTAACTTAGGAAAAATTTATCTCTTTTTTAAAAAAATTTACTTTAATTGTTGTTCAAGTACAATTTTCTATCTTTTACTCCCATTCCCATCCCAGCCCACCCACCCAACCCTCCCCACCTCCCTCTCCTTTCCACCCACCCCTAGTTTTTGTCCTTGTGTCCTTTAAAGATACTTGTTCCTGTAAACCCTTCCCCTTTTCCCCCGAAATTCCCCTGAAATTCCCTCCCCTCTCCCCTCTGGTCACTGTCAGTCTGTTCTCTAGTTCAGTGTCTTTGGTTATATTTTGCTTGTTTGTTTGTTTTGTTGTTTAGGTTCCTGTTAAAGGTGAGATCATGTGGTATTTGTCTTTCACTGCCTGGCTTATTTCACTTAGCATAATGCTTTCCAGTTCCATCCATGCTGTCACAAAGGGTAGAAGCTCCTTCTTTCTTTCTGCTGCATAGAATTCCATTGTGTAAATGTACCATAGTTTTTTGATCCATTCATTTGCTGATGGGCACCTAGGTTGCTTCCAACACTTGGCTATTGTAAATTGTGCTGCTATGAATATTGGGGTGCATAGATTCTTTTGGATTGGTGTTTCAGGGTTCTTAGGATATAATCCTAGGAGTGGAATTGCTGGGTCAAAATTTATCTCTTTGACACTTAGCCTACAGTTCAAACATGGTTGAGTTTCTATTTCTTCAAGTCCACATTTATGCTTTTCAGTTATTTATATGTTTGTCTAGTTCTCCTCATATTGGTTTGGGGTAATTTATTTTTATTGATTGATTGATTAGTTTGGGGGAACTTTTTATTTCTAACCTTCTTGTTTGTCTTTCACTGGTTAACCAAAGTAATGCCTTTTTTTTATTTATATTTTTAAATGATATTGTATATAAAAGGTAATTGATTTCAGTATGTTAATTGTATGACTGCAGTTACTAATTATTTTATTCTTTGTGGTATTCTTTTAGTTTTGCAGGACATATACTGATATTATCTTTAAATAATTGTACCTCTTTTTTATTGTTTTCACTTTTGTTTGGGTTATCTTGTGTGACTACATTAAATAAAACCTTCTAAATATGAAATAGTAATGGAGATTTGGGATTTTCCCCAAACTTCATTGAGATATAATTGATATATAACATTGTATAAATTTAAGGTGTATAGTGTGCTGATTTGATACATTTATATATTGCAAAATGATTACCCAGCAGAGTTAGTAAACACTTCCACCAACTCACATAATTATAACATTTTTGGAGTAAGAACATTTAAGATCTATTCTTTTAACAAATTTAGAGTATATAATACAGCATTGTTAACTATAATTGGTATCTGTAGATTCCCCAGAACTTATTCTATTCACCTTATAACTGGAAGTTTATACACTTGGACATCTGCCCATCACCCCTGCCTACAGTGCTTAGAAATTATCATTCTACTCTCTGCCTCTATAATTTTAACCTTTTTAGGTTCCATATGTAAGTGACATATACAGTATTTGTGTTTGTCTGTTTTTTACTTCGCATACTGCCCTCAAGTTCCATCCATGTTGTCCCAACAGTCTGTATGTATGCCACATTTTCTTCATCCTTTCCTTTGTAGACAGACACATCGAATGTTTCCATGTCTTGACTCTTGTGAATAATGCTGCACTGGTGACAAAAGTGCAAACCTCTCTTTGAAATACTGCTTTCAGTTGTTTTGGTTATACCCAGATGTGGGATTTGTGAATCATATGGTAGTTCTATTTTTAATTTTTTGAGGAAGCTGCGTACTGTTTTCTGTAGTGGTGGCATCATTTCACATTCTCACCATCACTTGCGATCTTTTGTCATTTTGGTGAAAGCCACTCCAACAACTGTGAAAAGGTAAGTCGTTGTTGTTTTGCTTGATGATTAGTGGTGTTGAACATCTTTTCAGGTGCTTGGCCATTTGTGTGTCTTCTTTGGAAAGCTGCCTATTTATTCCTGACTCATATTACATCCTTGGCAAATGAAGCAGGTGAAATGATTTGGGAATACTACATTTAAAGCAAATGGTTAAGAGGGAACCAAGATGGTGGTGGAATGGGTAGATGTTACATTCACGTCTCCCAGGAACAAATGAGAATATCAACTAAAATATAGAGCAAAAACTGGAATAACCAACTGAAGACTAGCTGAAGAGAAGTGTTATGACCAAGGACTTACAGAAGCCATATGGGGACTGGTAGGAAGGGCAGAGACACAAAAAGGGACGGCTTTGATCTCACAAGCAGGAGCTGAAATTCCAGATGGATATTTCAGCTGCAAAGTTTTCCACTGAGAAGTGTAGAGTCTCAGCCCTAAGCTGGGATCCTGAGCCCAGAACACCAGAGACAGGAAGGGCCTCCCACATAACATCTGGCTGTGAAAATCAGTATAAATTCTGTCTGCCATGAAGAGAAGAAAGTCCTCTAGTGAAACTGGCACCCTCTTAAAGAATCAACACACAAAATATCATTCATGGTCACTCACCTTGGGCTCTAGTAGAGTGAGGGTGGGTCAGACTAAAGTCACATGTTGGGGACTGGGGTCTGTGGCTCTGGGGAGAAAGCTGAAGTCTCAGCCACCAGGATCCCTGTGCTGAATCACTCTCCCACACAGCAGACACCATATTTCTTGGGTGGAGCACTCGCCTACATATAGCATCAGTCTGGGAGAAACAATAACCCCACCCTCTGAAATCTTTCTTTCTCCACCTGTGGAGCATGTGTCCTGCTGAGGAATTACCTGCCTGGGCCTAGGTGTAAAGGTCTAGGGAGGCTTATGGGATGCCAGTGACAGAGTTGTGTGGGTTTGGGGTGGGGGCCATTTCTCCCACTTTTTGTAAACCTGACTAGCACCTCCTCCATCACAGGCGATCCACTAGGGAAATCCACTAGCCCCATGTGCCTGGCTCCAGAGTCCCCACCCTCCTGGCTCCTGATGGCTCCACTGTGCTGAGGTCCAAGCAGAACACAGGAAAATTGAGATGGTTGACTCTGGGAAAGAACCACTTTCTCCACCTTCAGTTCAAGCCTGACTGGCAACCACCCTTACAGGACATTCACTAGCCTCATCTTGCCCATGTCATCCCCCTGCTGAGATTGGGCTCCTGGCAGAATCTGGACCAGACTGAATTGTGTAACTCTAGGATGAGGGCCATTTTTCCCTTGCACTCCTAACCAGTTCAGAGCCTTCCCTTCATGTGCCCAAATCTTGGTCTGTTTAGGCCTGATAAACTCTTCTAGCCTCACCCTGATGATTCCCTGAGACCTGACCCCACAACAGATGTGTGCACACACCCAGTGGGTAAAAACTAGACTTGGTATTATACTCTGGGACATTTGCTGAGTGGCCTCAGACCCAGCATTGCCATCGAGTTGGAACCTCTATCAGTCTGATGAACACAACTCAGTCCTACATGATGACTCACTGAGAATTTACTTCATGCAACTTGAGTACTGCCAGAGGCTTATTAGTTACTGCCAGCAGATGGTGGCAGGTGGAGGCAGATCTTTGGGTGCCTTAGACTTTTGCTGACCTGCCCCCAGCCCTGTGTTGGTAAAAACTATCCTTGGTATGCAGCTTGGTCTCTTCCTCACACACACAGGCCCAGAAGAGGTAGCCACTAACTGTGTATTGTTTTGTAACTTTAAACTGGTTGCCCAGAGCAAGTCACAGGCAGCATCAGATATTGCTATGGACAGGAGTACCTCCCAAGAGGCCTCAGAACCAACACGCCCAGTGGCTGGTTTCAGACAACATATGAGCTAATGCAATAAGCTTCACAAGAGAAATATCCAAAGAGAGATATGTGCAAATAAATGAAATTAGACTACCACCTTATACCATACACAAGAAAAAACTCACAATGGATTAAAGACTTAAATGTTGGACTTGAAACTATAAAGACACCAAAAGAAAACATAGGCATAAAATCCCAGACACTTCTTGTAGCAACATTTTTTTCTGATATATCTCCTTGGGCAAAGAAAACAAAGAGAAAATAACCAAGTGGGACTACGACAAACTGAAAAGTTTTTGCACAGCAAAGGCAACCATCAACAAAATAAAAACAACCCACTAAATGGAAGAACATATTTGCCATGAATACATCTGATAAGGGGTTCATATCCAAAATTTATAAAGAACTCATTAAACTCAATACCAAAAAGCAAACTATGCAATTAAAAAAATGAGTAAAGGACCTAAATAGACACTTTGATCCTTCAAAAGGACCAAAGAGGATGCATGGATGGCCAATACACATATGAAAAGATGATTAATGTCACTAATAATCAGAGAAATGCAAATTAAAACCACAATGACATATCACTTCACACTTGTCAGAATGGCTATCATCAATAAGTGAACAAACAAGTGTTGGCAAAGATGTGGAGAAAAAGGAATACTAGTGCAAATGCAGATTGGTATAGCCACTTTGGAAAACAGGATGGAGGTTTCTCAAAGTATTGAAAATGGGAATGCTTTATAACCCAGCAATTCCACTTCTGGGAATATATTTAAAAATACTCAAAACACTAGTTTGAAAGAATATATGCACTCTTGTGTTCACTGCAGCATTATTCACAATAGTCAAGATTTGGAAACAGCCCAAGTGCTCATGAGTATATGAATGGGTTAAAAAGCTATGGAACATTTACACAATAAATACTATTTGGCCATAAAAAAATAGAAATTTTAACTTATGTGACTGCATTGATGGACCTGGAGAGTATTATGCTAAGTGAAATAAGCCAGTTGGAGAAAGACAAATACCATACGATTTTACTTATATGAACAAAATCTAATGAGTAAGATAAATTTATAAACAAAATAGCAGCAGACTCATAAATACAGAGAAAAGACTGATAGTTGTCGGGGGCTGGGTGAAAAGGTGAAGGGATTAAACAAAAAAGGAAACCCTTATAGACATAGATAACAGTACAGTGACTGGAGAAAAGGGAAGTGGGGAGAGGAAGAGGTGGGTGAGGGGGGATAAATGGTGATGGAGGGAGAACTGACTTTGCATGGTGAACACACAATACATAGATGCTGTAGTATAGAACTGTGCACCTGAAACCTACATAATTTTATTAACCATGTCATCCCAACAACTTTAATAATAATAAAAATTGTAAAAAAGAATATTATACAGATATCATGTACACTGTTTACCCATTTTTCACCAGTGTAAGCATCTTGCAGCATTATAGTACAACATCATAGAAAAGATATATTGATGGAGTTAAGATACAGAATACTTCCCTGCTTCACTTTGCATTTTTATAGCCACATCCAGTTCCCTCTCAGCCTTACTCTCTCCTTAATCTCTGCAACTGCTAATCTGTTTTCCATTCCTATAATATTGTCATTTCAAGGAAAACAGTGTGGTGATTTTGGGGGTAGGGGAGGGTGGGTGGAAGTGGAGGAAGGTATAAGGGGAATAAATGGTGATGGGAAAAGTAATTATATAAATAGATATTCAAAAATAATTGTTGATAAAAATAATGTTGTATAAATGAAATTACATAGTACTCTGTTAACTTTGGGATTGGCCTTCTTTGTTTTTCTTTCAGCATAATGCTATTAGGTTCATCTACCTTGTTTCATGTATCAATAGTTAATTTTTCATATCGCTGAGTAATGTTCCATGGTATGTATGTAAAGTTTTCTTAACCATTCATTGAAGGGCATCTGGATTATTTCCAGTTTATGGTTATTACAAATAAAACTGCTATGACCATAAAAATATAAAGCAAGTGATTAATTAGAAAGTTCTCATTTGTGTGAATACATATGTGTATCTGTAAGTACACATGCACACACACCTGGAGGGAATTATTACATATACACATTAAAATTCTTTTTTCCAATGGTAAATTATGCCAAACATTAGCATTTTAAAGATTTAATATAAAATGTCACAACTTCTGACCCCCCAGAATATTATCATTATTAAATAAATATTTTTCTATTTATTTAGTTTTTATGCCTTTGATTGGCTAATATCCTTTGAACTTCAAAATCAATATTATGAAATATATAAAATTCTATTATTATAATTGCTATCACTTATTGGAAGTGCACTTTTCTAAGCTAACTCATGTGATTGATCTCTCAGATTGTTCTGTGATGTTGCACTGGTATAAAATCTTATTGGGAATATCTGGAACAGTAAATGGTATTCTGGTTTTGACTTTTATCTCCCTGGCATTGTTGGGTAAGTTAAAATTTCTTTAATAAATAAACATATGAACATATGTACTTTTTATGTCTTTTACCATATTATATCTCATTTCATATTCATTCTTTCTTATATTAACTAATATTTAATAAGGAGCTACTATGTATAAAGCCATAGGTTATATACTTCATAGTAATGTATTTAATATGTCATCAAATAAGATATGTATTTGTTCTTAAGTAGCATACAATCTGATAAGAGGAAAGCGTACGTGTATGTGTGTGTCTATGGTTGAGGTGAATATTTGGAGAGCTTGTTTTTTAATTTGTCAGCATTTTGGAAATAGATAAATATCCATAATTTTTCTTATATATTTATGTAAGATTTTATTTAGTTTACTCTTGCTTTTTTTCTATAAATATTTACTGAGGAACTACTATACCACAAAAATTACTACAAGTTCCCAAAGTTGAAGAAAGGAATAATCATACTAAGGAAGCTCATATTCTACCAGAAAAAAAAACAGATTTTATATTAAAATTACAGTAGAATGGGCTAAACATAATATCATAAGTTTCAGCAAAATGTTAAGAAAGCATGGAAAGAGCATGTGTGTGCCCTAGAGCAAGAACTTTGTTTTATTTGTCAATTTTTAGAACAATGCCTAGCACTGAATAGATCTTTAACATACATATACTATATAAATGAATTCATTGTATAATATTTGAAATAGTTTTTATTAGGCATGAAAATAAAAACCACTTTCTACTTACCCCTTCAGTGATTTCTTGTTCCAACCATCAGAATCATTCTAAAGAATTGGTCTCTGAGACATTGCACAGAGAAGATATTTAACCAACCTTAAAATAATCCTGTTTTCAAGTTTCTCAAGGAGTGTTGCTAAATTGTCAAAAAGGAAATAATTCAAATAACACCCAGGAAGATGTTGGAAAACTGAAAATGAATAATGACACAGGAGGAAATATAAAACATGTAGACGTGGGCCACTGTGTTTCAAGTGCTGCAGGCCGTAGAGGTATCGTTCAGGTCTCTCTCATGCTCTTGTCCTAATGTTCTGAACCTTCCAAGTGTGGAATATCTTACTGAGCACATAAATTAAATAAACAAATAAATATTTGATATGTCTTCTTTTCACTAAAAACTTGATTTACATATACATATATTTTTGCAGTGGGAGGAGAGCTGTAAAACAAAATGTAAAAATTAGGTTCTTCCCTCCAAAATATAAAAGCAAGTTGAGACATATAAATATAAAACTGGGAACAGGCTGACAGTGACCAGAGGGGAGAGGAGAGGGGATTACAGGGGAAAAGGGTGAAGGGTTTGCAGGAACAACTATAAAGGACACAAGAGAGGGGGTGAAAACAGGGGAGGGAGGTGGGAAGGCCTGGGGTGTTGGGCTGGGGTGGGGGAGAAGGCAGAAAACTGTACTCGAACAACAATTAAAAAATGTTTTAAAAAGTCTTCATTATAGGCTAAGGTAATATGTAAATAAATATTTTTTTTTCTTAATATCCTTTTATGAAATATAAAATAGATAAAAGCTGTTATATCAAATTTCATTTTTTATTTTAACTTTTTAACACTTAACTCTTTAAGAGTTGGACATTTATTTTATAGTATGTTATGGAGCAGCAGATTAACTTATTTTATAACTTTATCAAAAATATTTTTTGATCTCTAATTTCTGTAGTCCTCTTTATCACATGTGAATTGTGAAAATGTCACATATAAAATGTTATGATTTACTATTTTCTTTTGACTTATCTGTGTGTTTTATATGTACAAGTCCCAAATGAATTAAAACATTGTATCTTTATCACATATTTCACATTCTGACTAGCTAAATCCTCATTATGTTGTGTATCATAATGAAACCTTTTCAGAGGTAAGGAAGCTTTCATAGGTAAACATGGAATCATATAATCACCACTAAAAATTCCATTCAAGTCAGTCTAAATACTATACACTAAATTACTATAAGATAGTAATTTCTTATTACTTTTTTCTTCTTGTTTAATTGAGGAAATGTTCACAAACATAAAGTAAGCCATTTAAAACTAAACACTTCATTGGTGTTAGGACATTCAAATGTGCAACCACCACATCTGTCTAGTTCCAAAACATTTTCATCAGCCAAAAAAGAAATCTCACATCCAATAAGCAATTCATCCCCATTTCTTTGCCCTTTGTCCTCTGGAAATAACTAATATCCTTTCTGTTGCTATGGATTGACCAATTATAGATTTTCATATAATGGAATCATGATATTTGACCTTCTGTGTCTTGTTTTTTTACTTATGACAGTTTCATGTTCATCCATGTTATAGCATGTGTCAGCATGCTATTCCTTGTTATCACTGAGAAAATCTTCCTATGTATTTATATAGTACAACTTGTTTATGGTGGCAATACTAACCAAAGTGAGCTACAGATTCAAAGAAATCCTTATCAAATTTCTAATGAACTTTTTTTCTAAAGAAATAAATGAGGTGATCTTGAAATTCACATGGAATTGCAAGGAATCTTGAATAGCAAGATCAATCTTAAAAAAGAACTAATTTGGAAGATTCAAATTTTCCAGTGTCAAAACTTACTACAAATCTGCAGCAATCAAATACTGGCTTTAACACAGACATACAGATCAATGCAATGGAGTCGAGGGTCCAGATACACCTCTGGCCAAGTGACTTTTGCCTCGGATGCCAGCCATTCAATGTGGGAAGAACAATCTTTTTAACAAATGGGGCCAGGTCACCGGGACAGCCAGATACAAAGACTGAACTTGGACACCTAGCTCATACAATATAGAAAAATAAATTTAAAATAGATCAAAGACCTAAATGTGAGAGCTAAACTATAAATTTTTTTTATAAGGGAAAATAGATATAAATCTTCAGAACCTTTGGTTAGACAATAATTTCAAATATGACATCAAAAGGACCAGTGACAAAACAAAAAATAGATAAAATCAATATCATCAAAAATAGATAAAATCAATATAATCAAAAGACCTTAGTTCATCAAAAGATATTATCAAGGAATTAAAGACAGCACATCAAATGGGAAAAATACTTGCAAATTATGTATCTAATAGGTATGTAGTATCCAAAAAACTCATATATATTTATAAAATATAAAAAACTCTAACTACAAAACAAAAACAACTCAATAAAAAATGGGCAAAAGATACAAAAAGACACTTCTCCAAAGAACCTAAACAGAAGGACAATAAGCACATGAGAAGTTGTTTAACTTGATTAATTATTTAGAAAACAAGAAATCAAAACCACAGTGAGAAACCACTTCACACCCTCTAGAGAAGCTATAATCAAACAAACATAACAAGTATTGGTGTTGTGGAGAAATTGTTTATACATTGTTGGTAGGCATATAAATGGTAAATGATGTAGCACTGTGATAAATAATTTGCCAGTTCCTCAGAAAGTTAAACAGAATTATCATATAACCTAACAACTAAAATTTGAGGTATATACCCAAAAGAAAATATGTTCACACAAAACTTTATACATGAATGTTTGTAGAAAGAATATTCATAACAATTAAGCACAGTCCAAAATGTCCATCAATTGATAAATGGATAAACAAAATATGCCACCTCCATGTGGTGGAATACTATACAGCCATAAAAGGAGTGAAGTACTGATGTGTGCTTCATTTGAAAGAACCTTGAAAGCTTTATGCTAAGAGAAAAAAACTATACACAAAAAGTTACATATTATCCCATATCTATGAATGTCCATTATAGTCAAATCTATAAAAATAGAGAATAGATTAGTGATTGCCAAGTCTGGGAATTGGAGGAATGGGTAGTTAGTTGCTGCTTAATGCTTATGGGGTTTTATTTTTGGGTCATGAAAATATTTTGGAGTGATCTACCAGTCATGTTTGAACAACACTGTGGATGTACTAAAACCCATGGCATTTACATTTTTAAAGAGTAAATATTGAACTTTATTTTACATGAATTTTACCTCAGTTAAAAGAGGGGATTATAATGGCTACAAGTTTGGATAGTTATATTGGCCTGTAGTTATATTTTTATATATACTTCACTTTCCCTCATTATTATGCCAAAAGTCTCAAGGATTTTCAATTTGAGACTTCAATTTAATTTTAACTTGAGAAAATCATAAGTCTTGGTGAAGTTGAAATTACAAAGCAGTTGAAAAAATTAATCTCGATGTTATTTAATAACAAAAGGAAGATAATAAAAGAGATTACACACAAAAAAAACAAGGATAGAGATTCTAAAACTTTACATGGATAAATTCCAAGCAAATGGTATAGATGATATTCTATTTAATCTCTCAAATGTATTAATACAATCTATATCTTAATTGGTTCATGTTATTTAATGATATTAGGTCATAGCATGAAAAAAATTTCTTTATGTCTCAGTTTTGCTTTATCTTACTAAATTAATTTTCTTAAGTCCCAAGAATTATTATATGTATTTTTAACACTGTGAGTCTGAACACTTTGTGATGAGTAATGTTATTATAGCTACACTCTTATTTATATAACACAAATATTTTCACTGTCAATTTTCAGAGATATACATGTGATTTAATTTCTTTTTGTTTTCTCCATTTCCCAATAGGATCATGCCCATCAGAATGGCTCAAATATCAAGAAAAGTGTTATTGGTTCTCTAATGAGTTAAAAAGTTGGCGTGACAGTTATAGGTATTGTTTGGGGAGAAAATCTCATCTATTAATCATTCAAGACCAACTTGAAATGGTAAGTGGTTTAGTATCATGGTTACGGCATTGGCCTCTTGCTAGTTCAAAATGGCCTTCCTGAACTTTGTTATCACTCTTCTATTAAATTATCACTTATCTTCATAACTGAGTTGTGGAGGCCTTCTTAAGTTTTGTGCTCAAAGCCTGTGCCTCCCTTTGCCTCATGCTAGTCCTGATCTCAATACTTGTATTCAATTTTCAAGTAGAATATGTGTATGTATATAATGTAATGTGTCTAAATAATATATGAATTAATTAATATAAAAATTCCTATCTGGAGTGCTAGCAGTCCAATATTCCAATAAATTCTAAAATCTTATTTAGCATATATGAATTATTAAAATGTTTTGTTCATTTAGTTATTCATTACTTACATTTCAGGCTTTTATACAAAAAAACCTAAAACAATCAAACTACGTGTGGATTGGGCTGAACTTTATGGCTCAGAAGAGGACGTGGAACTGGGTGGATGGTTCTCCATTAGCTTCAGAGATGTGAGTCTTTACTCTAAAGCAATCTGATTTATTGTCTGTTGTAAAACTTACCTTCAAAAACATCTCTAAATTCACCAAAGTCAACTGTGAAATAGTTCTTGGTACTAAAGAAAGTGAAGACAAAAAATATATTGGTTTGGTTTTCAAAGCAAAAGGACTCAAAAATGATAATGGTTGGACTATTATTGTTTAAAAACTATTCATAACTTATATGGAAAGGTGGACTGAACAAATGTACTCCTGTGTTTTCAAAATTCCCAGTGTTTACTTTAGCCATCTTTAATAATTTAAAAAATCTGTACTTTTTTTTGTATTATATGCTTGATTATCATATCACTGAAAGACAAATGAGAAATGTAAGACAAAACAAAATAATACAGAAATATTTTCAACATTTCCATGAGATTGTTGAGGATTTTAAAAATTTTATCAATATTTTTGTGTTTATATTTTATAATGAAATAGTAAAACCAGTAAATTCAAATTTTATCCTGATGTTGGTAGACAAAATTATGGTTCCAAAGACGTCCATATCTTAATCCCCAAATCCTATGAACGTATTACCTTCCAAGGCAAAAACGACTTCAAAGGTATGATTAAGCTAATAATCTTGAGACAGGAACATTACGCTGGATTATCCAGGTATGTAAACTCAAGTCCTGATGTGAGGGAGAAAATCGAGGCAGAGTCAAAGAAGGGGATGTAAAGATAAACATGGAGGTCCAAGTAATAAAACCAAGGCCCAAGGATTACACGCAAGCTCTGAAGCTGCAAAAGGCAATGAACAAATTTTCCCCCTAGTGCCTGCGGAAGGCAGCTCTGTAGACATTTGATTTTACTCCCATCGAGAACTTCAAGATAACAAATTTTTGTTGTTTTAAGCCACGAAGTCTGTGGTAATTCATCATAGCAGTGATAAACTGATACACTATATAACCAAGTAATCAATTAATAAAACTGTTGTGTTACTTTCCACTCACCCTTACTTTGTCATGAAATATTACTTATTTTCTATTTCACTGCACTAAATGAATCCATCTAAGCAGTTCCACTGAAGACAATATTGGAATGGAAACTAAAATTACGAGTGGGCGCCATCTGAGGGTAGAGTTGCATCACTCAGCATTACCTAATAGATCACTTACGAAGGTGCTAGCCTAGGTGTTTCCCAGGCCAAACCCTGTCAGGTTTAGTTTTAACTTTAGAACATGCATTGGCATTTTTGTTAAAAACACATTCGGCACAGAAGTCAAACATGAATGTGGGCATGGTGCATTTCTAATGTGAGACTCCAATACCTATTTGCCCTTTATTCACGTGGAAGTTTTGGTGACCTTGTGCATCTTTCCCATAATATTTCTTAAACTTTTTACTCAGTTTAAATAAATTCCTGACAGAATAAAAGTGCTAAAATTACAGCATTTTGTAGATAACTTTATTATTGTATTTATCCTTCTTCTTTATGGATAAATAATACAATAAATGAATAATTTATTTAGAGTTTACATGAATGAGTTTGTGTACTGAATCTTTACAAACATCAATTCATTTAACCTAGTAATAGTATCATGAGATAAATATTACTAAAACCATTGTACAATTTGATATGAGAAGCCAATAAATATTAAGTAAGCTGTCCATGTGACTTAGTTTTCCTTTTTTTTTTAAATCTAAGGGGCCACATGGAACAATGCAAAGAATACTAAAATGGGAATGTGGGTACACATTTATTCTTAGCTGTCATTTGCAAACAAACTCTGTGAGAACTTTCTGCCAATGAGGAACAGTAATGATAAGTTACAGAGATAACTGTAAAGTTTAGTAAGTAAAGGTATTTGAAAATGCCTTGAAATTTTTGCATTATCATTTTTATTGTTGTTTGAATACAGTTGTCTCCATTTTCCTGCCACCACTTCCCCCCCCCCCACCCACTCCTACCTCACACCCTCATTCCTTCCCCCCTTTGGCTTTGTCCATGGGTCTTGTATGTACATTCCTTGATGACCCTTCCCTTTCTTTGCCCTATTATTGCCCTCTTCCCTCCTCTCTGGTTACTGTTAGAATTTGTTCTTTATTTCCATATCTTTGGTTGTATTTTGCTTGCTCATTCATTTTATAGGTTCCACTTAATTAGGTGAGATCATATGGTAGTTGTCTTTCATCTCATGGCTTATTTCTTCTTACTATTTTTTTGTAGTTGTACCCTTTAAATGAACACCATCAAAGTTTGCATATATAAGTAAAATGTTCATGAGACTCTTAATTCATTTTTAATTGCACAACTAATACATAATTCCAAAATCCTTTACATCTTCAAAAAGGTTAGACCTGAAACTTTAAAACTCTGATCTTCATCCCCAGTGCTATCATATCCTCTCCCATTTCCCCAGAGTAATAATATTGTTTTTGGTGCAAATTTCCATTTTTTAACCTTTGTTAGTGTGTTTGTTGTTTTATTTTATTTTATTTTTTCCTGGCTTATTTCACTTAGCATACTGCTCTCCCATGTGTCATCAAAGGTAGGAGGCCCCATGTGTCATCACAGGTAGGAGCTCCCTCTTTCTTTCTGCTGTGTAGTATTCCATTGTGTAAATGTACCATTGTTTTTTGATCCACTCATTTACTGATGGGCACTTAGGTTGCTTCCAGTACTAGGCTATTATCAGTTGTGCTACTATGAACATTTGGGTGTGTAGGTTCTTTTGAATTGGTGTTTCAGGATTCTTAGGGTACAGTCCCAGCAGTGGAATTGCTGAGCCAAAAGGCAGTTCCACTTTAGGTTTTTGAGGAAATTACATACTGTTTTCCACAGTGGCTGTACCATTCTGCATTCCCACCAAGAGTGTACTAGGGTTCTCTTTTCTCTACAACTGCTCCAGCATTATTGTTTGTTGATTTGTTTATAATGGCCATTCTGACTGGTGTGAAGAGAGTGTATTAGCTGCAAATACAAATGGATTTCTTCAGCAACAAGGATTAACAATGTATTTATCCTCCCTTCTGCAGAATCTTCATACAAGGAACAGCTATGGAAAACAGCTGTGCTGCCATCAAAGGAAACAAAATTTACTCTGAAACCTGCAGCGGTGTTTTCAAATGGATTTGTCAATGTTAGAATTTTAAAATATTAAGAGTGGAGTAATCAATGATCAACTTTTTTGCCTATTAGGTTCTAATATTCATCTTGATGAGTAAGAATTTAAAACTGCAATTAAACACCAAAATTTTTTCTCTATTTTCCCTTCATCACCTACATTGACCTAGCCTTAGAATAACCCCTGTTAATCTAAACTATACCTTTTCAATTTTTAATATTAAGTGTAAGCCTATGCATTTATATTAAGGATTTTTATTCATTTTTTCATTTATAACAAATGTTATTAATGATGTCTGCTTTTTGTATTTTGCTTTTTATTATTAACAATGCCCTGTGAAATTTTATGTAGATCTGAATTGCATTATAGTGTGGAATTATAGATTCTTTACTCCTTAAGTGATGAGCAGCAACTTTTTTTTCAAGTTTGTTAATATAATCTATGCTTCAATAAATATTCTAACTCTTTTCTTAGATAATAGCATTTTTATTTTTATGATATGAACCTTAAAACTGGAAATTCTGGGTAAAAATGTTATAAAAATTTTATATACACTTAGAATTTATTACAAACTTTTAAGAAGATTATGGGTACAGAAAAAAAGGAACTTAAACCTTTTAATGAATGTCTTGAGATTTAGTTGTCAAACTGATGCATTTTATTATGAAATTTCAAGTATCATTGAATGATGTTATACTTCCTACATAAAATATTCTTCTTAATCAATACAGTGATTAAAATCAACATTAACATTGCCACAGTACTACCAACTAATTCTCAGGTTACCTTCAGGGTTTGCCAATTGTCAAAGTAATGTTCTTTAGAGTAAAACACCCAGTTCAAGGGGTCTAGTTAATCTCCTTCTACCTAGAATTCCCTAGCCTTCCTTGACACTTAAGATGTTGACATTTCAAAACTACAAGCTGATTATTCTGTAAAATTTTCTTCAATTTGAATAAATAAAATAAAAGTGGAATAACATTTATGAGAATCTGCCTGATTACAATGCCTGACACATAATAGGTACTCAATAATTATTAATTGATTTTGATACTTGCTATAAATAAAAGTTGCATGATACTTATGAGAATCTGTGTGATTATTTCTCATGGTTGTTTTCAAGTTATACCTCCTTGACAGGAATAGCAGAGAAGTGATGTAGTGAAGCTGTTTCTGTAGGTACTATAGTTAACTAGTTATTAATAAAAGACAAAGAGAAAAGGGGATTCGACATTGAGCTTAATAAACTGAGGACTATGAGCCTGTTTGCTTTACCAGGAAGGTATAGCTTTACCCCCCAGGGTGTTACAGCATTGCTCCAGCAAGGGGTTAGCACTCCTTCTTTCCCTGCTCTGGTACCGGATTGTTGGAAGGTGCAGGGAGAAGTGCTGGACCAAAGAGGCTTGTCAGTCTAGCTAGGGGGTAGATCCATCAAAAAGCCTGCAAAAGCTTGGGAACTCATTGGTTATTTTGAGAAAGCACTTGGTCTATCCTAAACCCAAGCTAATACATGAGGGGAGACCCAAAAACCCCAGAATGTATTTATTAAAAATTGTGTCTTTAGTCTTATATGTTTAAACTTCAATCAGCTTCAAAGTTCTCTCAATTTGACACAGTACACCTATTGAGACACTGTTTCCACTGCTCAAAACAGTTTTTGAACTCATCAATTTTGATCCCTTTAGTGCTTCTGCCATTTTTTTGTTATACCTTTTCCATTTTAGCAAAATGTTTCCCTTTGAGGACTTTTTTTTTTTTTAACTGGAGAAACAGAAAAAGTCTCTCAGGGAGAGATTCGGTGGATTGGAAGATTAGGGCATGGGGTCATGGCATTTTTGGTCAAAAATTGCCAAACACTCAGCGTGGTATGGGCAGGTGGACTGGTAAATCATGAAATAAGCAAACGCATTGAAAGAGTCTACATAAAAATTCACTGAAGCCGAACACAGACTCTTGCCACAATGCCAGCTGGTGCACTGATATGGATGGGTTCCTAGAACTCCCAACTAGAGGGGGAAGCCTGTACTACAAGGGGCCCACCCTCCAGAAGATAATTCCAGTTTTTCTTTTGGGTTCCCCATAATTCCAAGGGAACAAGGAAACACACACACACACTCTCTCCCTCTTTCTCTCTCCCACACAGTAATTCCTTTGCCCCGCGCATCTCCATACTCTCTCACCCAGTAGCACATGACCATGTGGGTCTGGCAGCTACTAGGGCTTGTGGCAGACTGCATGGGCTCCAAAAGGTTAAGCTTTAACTTGAAGCAGAATCTCTGCACCTTGGCTTTTGTTTTGGCCTTGCTGAGGACACAGTTAGACTTTTTCCATGGTAAGATGGAAAGAGATGGGACATTGGATACCCATGAGGCAACTTCTATTTCCACCCAAATAAACCTTGCCACACCACAGTCTCCTGTGTGTGGGTCCTTGGAATGCTTGGCTTGTAATTTCATGTAGATCCTAATTCCCACCACCACCACCACCACCAACAAAAACAACAAAAACTGTTCTCAATGCATCCTTTCAGATGCTACAGACATTTATTTGTTCCATAATTGATCCTCTTCACCTTATTTACATGATTAATGTGCTGTTTAACACACTTAACTGTAAAGTCACTCTTTCCCTTTGTAATTGATTAATATTTGTGGGGAGTGACTAAGCCTTAACATTCTCCTCAGCTTGACTAAACTTTAGATAAGTCTCATTCTGCCTGACTGTGCACCTCTGGCTTCCTTTTTTTTTTTTGAAAGAGATTTTACCTTAGAAACTTATAATTGTAAGTTCTTTCTCTGTCCCTTTGAGATGTGAAAAAGTTTTTAAGCCTTTTGAAGGTTTTGTAACCCAGAAATCTCTTTCTCAAGGGGCTGGAAGTCATCCCTTTGAAATGTAATCATCAAAAAGGACAGAACCCTTATTTCTCTCTTCTGGAGGGGTAGGAGCCTAACGTAAGTGGGTATCTAGCTCCAACTTGTAAAACGGCCTTGTATTATGAAGATCTGAGAGAGTTCAATTTTCCTTTAAGTAAAACCAAGTAACAAACACAGAGGCGTATGTTCTCCTCCCTTACCCAGCTCTTAAAAATTCTTGCTGCCCTTTATATTAGCAAATTGTAGTTCAGACTGAGTTCTGGCCAATCTCCTCTATTTCAATAGCTTTGAATAAGGCCTTTATTCCCTTTGTAAGACTGGCCCATGCAATTTTTGCTTTGACAGGAAGTACTTCCAAATTTTATAAATATTCCATTCATCATTAAAATTTCAATTTGTTCAGTTTTGTATTTGCACCTTTGTGGAGTTCCATTTTCACATTTTGTTCAATGGCTCATAATCTTCTATTTTAATGATAAAATTGTTCCAAATATAATCATGGGAGTTATCCTTCAAAGTGACATCTGTATATCTATCTGATTACCATAATTTTTTGCTGGCTTGTAGTTTTATTTTTTTTTAATGGTAATAGCCTTCCACAAATACCAGTAACATTGTTGCCAATGTTGGAACTGGCCTTTATGTTCTAGACCAGCTATTTTCAACTGGTGTGCAGTAACAATTATCAACACATGCCATACTGGACTATTTAGTCTGGGGCACTGACCTCTTTTTGTTTTACCAGCTCTGCATGTAATCAGCTGTCCCCCGTGTCTGAGGCTGAGACAACCGTATGTTTGTGCTGAACACCTCCACAGTGATAGAAGTAAAAGGAATCCACATCAAGACCTGGGACTCATGGGTGTTCACAGCTTTTCTCCTGTGGCCTGTTTGTGTTACAACACCCTTGAAAAGAGTGGACCGAGTTCTCTTTTCTCCCTTGACACCTCATCTCACCTCTCCTCTCTGAAGGTGCCACCCTCCTAACCTCCCAAGTCAGGGACACTGACCTCTTTTCCCTTAGACTTTGAAATAAAAAACGACAGCAGCCAACACAATAATTCTCTGGTGTAAATGAATAAAAAATTATATCTATTTTTTGTCAGATTAGCAAAAAATATTTTTTTGCTTGTTGCAGAATTTTAGTGGTTTATGTGTGCCATGCAGTGAGAAAGTTTGAAAATCACTGTTTAGCCTGATTCATATAATTAATTAAATAATTAGCCAGAGAAATAAAAAAATAACTTTCTCTTTTTCCAAATAATCTGTTTTTCTTTGTATCTTTCAAAATTTATTTTATTTTCTGTCTCCTCATGTAGTATTTAAGCTCCATGTTGTGTCCTGTTTGGATATCTGTCATGTCTTTATTATTTAAAGCAGTGACTGACACATAATAGGTGCTCAATAAGTATTAGTTGAATGGAATCTGTTAGGTGCTATAAATAATATTATCATGATACTTATGATAATATGAAGTAGGGGGATCTGATGTTGCCACTGAATTTAGTTAACCCTTTGTTAAATATGTTATTGATAAACTTGTATCTGTAGTGAGTAGAATTAAGCAGAAGAAGGAAGAAATCTACTAAGTGGCTCCAGATAAAGCACCAACAGGTTAAAAAAGAAAAAAGCCTTTTGAGTTTAGTGAGTATGTTGTGCTTTTTTTAAAAAAAAAGGCAAAGAGAGTTAGTGTTACTGAAAGCCATAACAGTATAAGCTGGGTGTGAAACATGGGTGAAAAATAGGAGTCAACCAGGCCATGTATTTTCACTTCTGTCTGAACAGCAATGGGAAACCAGTTAGCAGAGTAGCTTGGTCAGTTTTGAGTTTCAAAACCATTACTCTGGCTACAGTGTGGAAAAAGAAATATGAGGAAGTGCATACTTAAGAGTCTTCATTATTAGACAAGAGATGATGTACTAGTATGAGAACTTTGAAGATAAAAAGAAGGAATTGAAATATACATATTAACATTTTTTGATTGACTGAATGGTAGATAAAGAAGAAATCAATGTTAAGGAAAATACCAGGTTTCTGTTTTTATGCAACTAGTTGGATAGTGGTTCCATTTAACGCACTGAGGAGGGCCTTATTGGGTGAGGGGATTATAAATTAAATTTTAGACACTCAGATTAAGATATAATTTAGACATTGAAGTGGAGTATGAAGTTAGATATTAAATCTGGAACTCAGAGAGAGTTTCATTGTTAATATGGAAGTTTAGGACCCTTTAGAGAAGATATTGACCCTGAATATATAAATTAGATGGCCTAGGGAGGAGTGCCAATGGAGAAGAAAAGAAGTCCTAAAACAATAGAAAGGCTAGTATGTATGGCAGAGACAAAGAAAAGTGTCCTGAAGTCATAAAGAGCAGAGAATTCAGGGAGCAAGGAGGAATCTCAGGGGAAAATGGTAACACAGAAATTTTGGAAGATAGCATTTGAAGAAGGAAACAAAAGGTAAATGTTCAATCCTTCTTGAGAGGACACCAGAGATATGCAATGAGCATGGCTCTTGTCCACATCTGCGGTGTGCTGGGTAAAACTAGGTTGGGCTGGACTGATATGCATGGGGGATATAGTTTCCTTAACTGAAAGAAGAACCTTGAAACAAGAAGGGGACACTGTAGCTGAGACATATATCTGAGAAAGGTGGAACACAGAAGTAAAATAAGCAGATCTTGAAAATAAAATGTCTTAGCTTGGTAGCAATGATGTACGTAACAAAATATCACAAATCAAGTAATTAAAAATAGAAATTTATTGTCCGTATTTCTGGAACCTAGAAGACCCAGATCAAGTTGTCTGCTGGTCTATGTTCTTCCAAATGGCTCCAGGGGACAATTCTTCCACCTAACAAAAGAGAAATAGAAATTAACTAAGTTAAAATTTATATTATCAAAAACTAGATAAAACACTACTAGTGTTGAAATGTTAGAAAAATTTTCCTTAAAATGTGCAGCAAGTCAAGAATGTTACCAACAATATTTTCTTGGCAGTCTTACATTTTTTAATTTGACAAGAAGTAATAGTTGTAAGACAAAGAAAAGTAAAACTTATCATGTACTATATTTTGCATAAATATATGCAAAAAATATTTCTACATAGAAACAACTATTTTAAAAGATAATAAGATTATATAATGTCAATAGCAAAAAATAGGGATGAACATAGTAAATATTTTTCAGTAACTATTTATAAAAATTGTAAGTTATATAAGAATATAAAAATCAATACAAGATACATATTGTAAATTAATAAGAAAATGATCTTATAAATACAACACTCTCAACATTGACCTATAGAATCTGTGAAATTATGGGATTCTTCTAAAATTGATATAGAAAAACAAAGATCCAAGCCATCTGTAAAGTAAATAAAAACTAAGTTGAAATTTACTTTAACAAAAATGAAGTTGTACAGAAGAAAAGAATAAAAGGTTACAGATATCAAAACTATATTACCCATGCCCTGGCTTATGTGGCTCAGGGGATTGAGTGCTGGCCTGTGGACCAAAAGGTTGCCAGGTCAATTCCCAGTCAGGGCACATGCCTGGGTTGTGGGCCAGGTCCCCAGTTGAGGGCATGCAAGAGGAAACCAATCAATGTCTCTCACACACATTGATGTTTCTTTCCCTCCCTTTCTCCCTCCTTTCCCTTCTTTCTAAAAATAAATAAATAAAATTGAAACATACAAATAAAACTATATTATTCATGTTTAGAAGTCCATCATTAGAAATATTTACCTAGTGCCTTTTTCCTTTCTGCAAATGAATTTTCTTTCTGTGTAGCATCTAGCTGTTGCTACGCCATCATCATTGAGGTAAGCACATGTTTCATTTCCACTCACTATAAATCTACAACAGAAAGAGTAGACTAAACACTATGTACCAGGGAGTTCCGTGATTTCTACCGTGCTTAATAATACCTTTTAAAAATATCTGAGTCCAAAAAAAGTGTACTGTGACAATGTACTTTCTGGCTACAGTTAAGATATTTGTAGTAAACTGGACCATAAAAGTCTGTCTTCAAGAATTTATATTTGTTGAAATGATACTAAGTTAGTTACATGTAATCGGTGGAGCTAGCACTTCATACCCACCAAAGGTTTTAAACCTGGGGCAATTTTGCCTTCACAAGGGACATTTGGCAAAAACTGGAGACATTTTTGGTTGTCACAGATGAAGGGAGTAGAAGCCAGAGATACTGTTAACATCCTACAATGCACAAAAAAATGCCCTCTCCTAACAACAAAGAATGGTTTAGCCTACTGGGTCAGTGAGAGATCTAATACAAACTAAGGGGTAAAGTGGCCGGCACTCATCATCTGGGGTGGTGGTCATGCTGAGATCATGTGCACATGAACTCAGGTCTTTAGGTCCAATTTTTCTTACTATAAAATAGAAAATACAAAGGCCAGGATAAATCATGCTTCAATGCAAATACAATCAGGTTATAATAAACACTAAACTTTTCATGAACTGTAAACATGTAGCATAAAGCTTGAAAAATAGATATAGAATTGGAGAAGATAAGTTAGAATAAGAGGAACATTTAATGTTTTTGGACTGTGCTTCTGAATAGTTGGTCTTTATTTTCCAAATAACCAACTAGGAGATCTTTCCCTTATATCTGGATTCCCAGATTCTCTGGTTGACTTGTGCAACTAACTCAGTACATGATACAATCTTCCCATTTCATCTCTGCAACATTCTCTCAAATCTTGGGCTCTAGAGAAATGTAGCTAATGCACAAGTTCTTTTGGTTGCACTGTCTAAATTTAAATAACCCCAGAAAGAAAGAAAAAACTTACGATTCGTTAAGTGTTGTTCCATTTACCCATTTTCCCTTTTGATTTCCTTCCATCTCCAAACCAATCCAGTGATCAGAAGTGCCTTTGAATCGTCTTAGAAAACCCTTCAAAACAACATAGATTTCATAATTTTACTTCTCAGTTTTCACTAGCGTTCAAGTCCTAGCTATACAGAAAAATACCTATGGCATTTTGAAAAAACATTTTTTTACTCTCTAATCCTGCTTTCTTTTTTGATATGAGACACCTTTTCTTTAAGATACATTCTGATTCCAAATAGATAACTATACAGTATGGAAATAATTTCCTCCAGGATTTTTAAATAATAAATTTATGGAAAGTCAGAGTTTGTCCATTTTTAATCATTAGCCATTTACTATCATGGTTTTCCTCTTCCAACTAGTGTATTAAGCTCAATGCTGTATTTTATTTCAACTTCTCTTCCAAAATTATCACAGATGCACGCACATCCAGGCTTGCTCACAAGCATACATACGTGCCCCCCCATATAACTAGTTCTTTCAAAATCTAATTTTCAAATTGTGCTTTTTGCAAATATCTCAATTTTTAAAGCCATCATAAAGGAAAGTATAATTTTCCTGATATTTCTCCTTTTCTTCTTATTAATTTAATGTTAAAATTTCTTGCTACCTTAGAGCTCATTTTACCATAGAATTATATTGTATGTAAAAAGTCACTGAGTCTCCTCTGCTGCCTGAAAAACCATAAATTTTACATTATATCACTCCAGGTTTCAATTTTATGGTAAATATAAGGGAATCATGATATTGCACATTTATGGTTCATTTCTATCTAATAACAGTGACATTTAATAACCTTTGGCATCTTAATCTTCTGCAGTATTTTATGAGCTTATTGTTTAGATATTCAATTCATTGAGCTAAACTGTGGGATTACAAAGGAACAGATTAATACAACATTCTCCCTGGATTTCAAATTATGTGAAGATAGAGTTAGAAAATACCCTACTGTTAAGGAGAACATGATGAATATAATAAAAACAAATTAAAATTTGAGTTTCCCCGAAGAAGTGTCTGGTCTTTATGGGAGACTTCCACACCGGATGTGCTCCATCAAAAAGGTAGACCTGGGAGCGAAGGTACTACGCACGATGAACACGGGGGTGGGGGCGGGGGAGAGAAAAGGACATTCATGGTCTAGACTTAGTGAAGGACTTCTTTAAATGCAGGAAAAAATATGTAAGAAAGAATAAATGTATTGGAAACTGACCGGAAAAAGTCACACGAATTATTACTGGATAATGAAAACTGGATGACGTTTAGTAGCTGTGGTCTTGGTGACAGGCCACTAGGAGGCATATTTTCTAGAGCCGGTCCTGTGGTAAGTATTAATCATTATTTGTTCTACACAGGGGTGCCTATGTAGCCTCTTGTTAAAGATGCAAGATAATTTTAAGTAGGTAGAAATGCATACAACAAATTTTTCATGAAACAAGTTTTATCTCATTTAACTAAGAGTAACATTTTGTAATTTAAACAAATACATATTATTTTTAACTGTTTAAAAATAAACCGTCTTTCAAAATGTATTACTTTTATCACTCCTTGACAGACAGGTTTACCTCTTTCTGATTGTCACTTAAATTTTGCCCAGATTATGTAGTACATAATAGGCTTCTATGATCTTCAAAATATATTAGGATATTGTACAATGTCTTCTTTTATCCAAACAATATCATCATTCTATATGTTTAATGATTTCTCTTAAACTCAAAACTAATTAATTATTTTTGTGTACTTCTATTCCTTGTGTTCTGTGATATTCACCACTTTTTCAGTTACTGTCAACATGATTCTTTTAAGTGAAGAGTTTAAAAAGCTTGTCTTGTTAATTTTTGGTCTCTCAAACATTTTATTAACACTCTGTATTTTTTCATTCTGCCGCTAATCTAGCCTCTTTCCTCCCAAGAAGAACTATAAAAGGCTGCTTAAAGATTTCTCAGAATGCTCATTGCAAAAGTGTTGCAAAATTCACAAGTGAAACTACTGATTCTGGCAAAGAGGTTCTTCCCATGTAAAGGAGCCTGAGTATTTGATTTTCTGTTTGTCTTATCATATCTAGTTTTTCTCATTTGATTCAGGCTTCCATACCTTTTCTTGCTTCCAAAATAGTTTAGTTTCCTTGCACTGATCTATGAATTGTCCCAGCCTGGTTCACATCCATTTGAATTTGAACCAGTCTTTAGGTTGATTACATAAATAAACTTCATTCACCACAGAAATAACACACAGTTCTAACAATGTTGACTGCTGGGCTGTACTCTTCACATTTTAAACACTTCTTCATTGTACATTATTCATAGAAATATTTAAATCAAGTTACATTATTTCTTATAATGACCCTTTTAATGAGGTTAAACAAAACAAAACAAAACAAACAAAACAAAAAACCCACCACACGCTTACTGCAGAAATGATTGTGAAAATAACAAATTTCACAAATGCAGAACTGCAGAGTCATTCTGTCATTAAAGTTGTTGGACATTTTCTTCACTCATAAAGTTTTTGCCATATAAATTAATATTTATTCAAGAAAGATCCATTAAGCTTTTATTGATATCTGCCATTATGCTACAGCAAAAGATGCTATTTCAAGAAAAACATAATGTCTGCTCACTGGAAGGTCATATTCTTGTCTAGGGCAGAACTTTTGATTACACACCCATTGCATGACTAGTAGTGAGTAAGGCGGTGCAGGCTGCTACGGGACCTTGGAGACAGACGGCACAGCAAGGCTGAGACTCTGGAGGAAGAAGGAATAAAGAATCCCGTCCATCCTGAGGCAATTTTGTCTTTGTGGACTATTGGCTTTTAATGTTTCCAAATATTTCAAGCTCTTCTATTCATACTTTTCAAAAGATAAAGATAACTCTCAGGTTTACGACTTGATATAAGTATTACAGCATCCAAACAAAAATATCACCAGGTGTGTTCCATGGCATGTTTTGAACATCTTCAATATTCTGTGTAGATAGACAGGCATATGTAAAAATTGTAAAAATCATAATAAAATTTGAATATTTCCAGAGTCCCTGTGCAATAACATTCATAAGAAATGTATATTAGATTACTAACCATCACATGTGTAGTGTTGTCGACCACAGTTAGATCAGCATGTTTAGTGAGACAGTAATTTCTACTTGAAGTCCAATTCTTTTCATCATTAGAGAAATAATGGCAATTATCTTGAAAACCAATCCATTCATCTGGGCAAACACACTGATTACATTGATATAGAAAAGCTGGAAATGAGACAAATACATATTTTAAGAACCAGATGAAATAATACGCTTCTGTATTTGCAATTGTTAGGGAAAGACAAGATTGTGATGTAAAGGATTATGATTATGGTTAGAATTGTGTGTCAATCACTTAACAAGTGCTTAAAAATTTCATGTTATGTTAAATGACAGCAGCTCAGGATTTTAACAGATACTTAAATTCATTGTAACTGTAACACACTGGCATTCCAGAGTAACCAGTGGAATTTGTATTACTTTCACTCATGTTCCGTCGCCCTTGTCATTTCTGGGTAAATGAAATACAACAAAATCCTAGCATTTTCTGCAAGTAATGAAATCACAAACTTATACTAGACTGCTAAAAATCTAGGAAAGGCGTTAAACTCTAAGGAAACAATGAAAATAATAAAACAGAATGTGTGACTAAGAAGATATGTGTTGGATTGCCTGTTGTCAAGTAGGTATCACCCTCATTGCACAGTCCTGGGTAAACCAGTGCAGACCCACGTAAATTTGGAAGGTGGAAGTGAAGCAGGAGCCTTTGTTCTTAGAGACCTTGGGCACAGGAAGTTCACAGGCCTTTTCCCTTTTGTAGTCTCTGCAGCTAGATGTCTTAGCTTCTTAGATTTTCCTCTAATCTCTGGGTTCTCCAAACACATTAGCAAATGAGTGATGTGCCAAAAGTTTTAGTTGCTATTACTCCTTTAGCGACATAGCCTTTCAGACCATCACTCCCCAGCTCCTCTCACAAACATGTTGTCCCGAAGTTCTATATCAAAGTCAGTCTTCAAACATTTGCAGTGTCAACTTTTCTGAACACACACAGGCTGAATCAATTTTTGGTACCAAAAGTGGTTCTGAAGAAACAACCATAAGGATGAGATATCATCATATTGGTTTTCCCATGTCATTTGCTTTAAAGGCATTAGTCTAATCACCAGCTGTAAATGGGATGCTGGTGATTAACAGTGAACAGAGGTAAAACACTTGGTTAAATCATCATTTACAGTCACTGGATGCCAAGTACCTATAACACCCTTGTCCTAACCACGGATATAATAATGAGCAAAAAGTGTAAAAAAGATGACATCAGAACAGCATGATTAACAAAAGTAAGCCAAACAGAGAGAGCCACATGAAACAAGTACAGAATATGCATTCTTTAAAATGCACATGAAACATTTACCAAAATGAATGGCAATAATGTGGTAATAACCAAATTAAAAAAACTGAACACATTTACAGTATGCAACCTGAATACAGTAAAACTGAGTCATATATTAATAACAAAAATCAAAATTAAAAAATCACCAAAGTGTGTAAATTAAATAAAGCAAGGCTAAATAGCTCATGAATCAAAGAAGAAACATGGAAAGTAAAAAATATGTTGAAGTATAAGAAAGTTACATATATTTTGATATGTATTATATATATTATATCAAAACTTATGATATAAAACTAAACTTGTAGAAAACAGAACATTATCTTAAAAGTTGGAGGAAAATTTATTGGTTTAAATAACTATTTTAAAAAAGAAGAAAGACTTTTTGACTTCCAGTCAAGATTGCAGTGTTGGCAGATGTGGCTCGCCTCTTGGCACAACCACATCAAAATTACAACTAAAATATAGAACAATCATCACTCAGAACCACCAGAAATAAAATTGAATGGAAGCCTGACAACTACAAAATTAAAGGGACCACATCTATCCAGACTGGTAGGAGGGGCACAGATGTGCAATAGGTTGGTCCCACATACACGTGTGGTGAATAAAAATTCAGGTGGGATATCTCAGAAATGAGGAGTCCCAACCCCACACCAGGCAGTCCATTCCAGGGTTCCAGTGCCAGAAAATATAAGTCCCCACAACTTCTGGCTGCGAAAACCAGTGGGGATTGAGGTGATGGAAGAAACCGCAGGAACCCCAAATAGTTCCTCTTAACGAACCTACACAAAGACTCACCTACTCAGACTCACTTCCTCTGAGCTCCATCACCAGAATAGCAGCTTGAAAAGCACCGGTGGCATACAGAACAGAAATGTCTGGCATAAAGGTGAGCAGAGGCCATTGTCCCTTTTCTAAACCCTCCCCCCACAGAGCCACAGAGCCAGCAAGCTGGTGCCATATCTGAGATTCCATCAAACCAGCTAACACTGTTTGACCTGCTTTGGAGATACCCAGAGACTCTGTCCCACCCAATTTATGGGTCCACCCAAGCAGCTTTTCCATATGAATGGCTCATCTTGGCTCATGCTTCACCACTTCCTAAATCCTCTCAAATAAGCAACATCCAGACTTAGTGAGCCCCAGGTCTGGCACTAGCAGCCACCAGCGTACATTCATAGCTTGGCTCTGCCTGGGAATCTCCAAGCCCACCACAAGTAGCAGCCATTTCAGATTGCTTTATAGCTCAGGCAGGGTGGTCCTGGGTAAAACAGGTGGGCATGGAACTTTTAGCCTATACCACCCAGGACACTCCAGGGCCAGTGCTCCTAGTGGACAGCTACAGACCACATCAGAGTACCACCACCCTGCTCTTGGACAGTTGATTCTCCACAGGGGGCAGCAGTTGGTCATAAGTGGTCACTGCCAAACCTTGCAGCTGACTGGCCTGGATAAATCCCTCCCACTGATGTGCCAAGAGTAGCCAAGGCTCAACTACAAGAGGAGGGTGTACTCGGCCCAAACAAAGGATGCATCTAGAGTACCCAGCTTGGGTGATAGGAAAGTTTGTACCACTGGACCTTATAGGATACCTACTACATTAGGCCACACTATCAAGACACAGACTCAATGTAGCTCTACCTAATACATAGAAACAAACACAGGGAGGCTGCCAAAAGGAAGAGACAAAGAAACATGGCCCAAATAAAAGAATAGATAAAAACTGCAGAAAAAGAGCTAAATGAAATGGAGATAGGCAATCTATCAGATGCAGAGGTCAAAATACTGGTTATAAGGATACTCAAGGAACTCAGTGAGTACTTCATCAGCATAAAAGAGATCCAGTCAGAAATGAAGGATTCACTAATTGAAATTAATAACAATTTACAGGGAAACAATAGTAGAGTGGATGAAGCTGAGAATCAGATTAGTGGTTTGGAACATAAAGAAGAAAAAAAAAACAACCAATCAGAATGACAAGAAAAAATAATAGAAAAAAATGAGGGTAGTATAAGCAGCCCTGAAACAACTTCAAGAGATTCAACATTCATATCATAGGAATACCAGGAAGAGAAGAAAAAGAGCAAGAAATTGGAAATCTATTTGAAAAAATAATGAAAGAAAACTTCCCTAGTTTGGTGAAAGAAAATAGACATGCAAGTCCAGGAAGCACACAGGGTCCCAAACAATATGGATGCAAAAAGGTTCACCTCAAGACACATCATAATTAAAGTGCCAGAAGTTAAAGATAAAGAGAGAATCTTAAAAGTAGCAAGAGAAAAGCAGTTAATTACCTACAGGGTAGTTCCCATGAGATTGTCAGCTTTTTTCTCAAAAGAAACTTTGCAGGCTAGATGGGATTAGCAAGAAATATTCAAAGTCATGAAAGGCAGGCCTATAGGCCAAGATTGCTCTACCCAGCAAAGCTATCATTTGCAATGAAAGGGCAGATAAATAGCTTCCCAGACAAGGAAAAACTAAAGGAGTTCATCAGCATCAAACCATTATTATATGAAATGTTAAAGGGACTTATTTTAGAAAAAGAAGATCAAAACTATGAACAATAAAATGGCAAAAATACATATCTGTCAATAATTGAATCTAAAAAACAAACTAAGCAAACAAGAAAAACAGGGACAGAATTATGGATATGGAGAACATTTTTGGGTTGCCAGATGGTAAGGGGGTCATAGGGAAATGAGTGAAGAAGTGAGGGGACTAAGAAGTAAAATAGATAGTTACAAAATAGCCATGAGGATGTAAAGTACAGTAAAGGAAAGGGAGTAGCCAAAGAACTTATATGTATGACCCATGGACCTGAACAATGGTGGGGTAATTGCCTGAGGGAGAGGGCAGTGCTGGGTGCAGAGGGACAAAGGGGGAAAAATCAGGACAATTGTTGTAGCACCATCAATAAAATGTAATTTAAAAATAAGAAAGAAGAAAGTCTTTTTAAAAAGATAATTATCTATCTCAGTAAGAGCGGTGAATTAAAAAACAGAAAAACACAATTAAAAATAACAGCAGAAATCACCCAGTTTGGTGTAGCTAAGTGGATTGAATGCTGGTTTGTCAATCAAAGTTTCACTAGTTCCATTCCCAGTCAGGGCACATGACTGGGTTGTAGGCCAGGTCCTTAGTGGGGGGCATGCCAGAGGCAACCACACATTGATGTTTCTCTCCTTTTCTTTCTTCCTCCCTTCCCCTCTCTAAAAATAAATACATAAAACCTTTTAAAAAATAAGAGCAGAAATCAGTTGAAGAAAAAATTAACAGGCATAGAAAAAGTTAAAATCATAACTTGGCTTTTTCAGTAATTAAAATGATATAGAACAGTAGAAAAACTGATTTAAAATTTAAATTTAAAAGAAGGACTAGCAATACCATGGATTTTTAAAAAAGAGGAATTTCTGAAAAACCCAACTTATCACAACTGAAAAGGAAAAATAGTAAATGTGAATAATACTTTTTAGTGAAGATACTAAATCTTTAATTTTAAAAATTTCACCAAAGAAACCATTCAGGCCAGATGGCTTCAGCTGGTAATCCTTCTACTCTTCTAAGAAAGACATAACAACAATATTGCACAGCCTCTTTCAGAAAATACAATAGAATAGGAGGAATTACCTTCCAATTCAAATTTTGAGGCCAAGGTAATCTCAATATCAATACCTGACAATAGTATTATAAGAAAAGGGAATTACAGTTCAGTCTTTTAGAAACATATGTGCATATATTTTAAAATATTAGCCAGTTTAATTCAAGAGTGTTTTTTTTTTCATTTTAGAGTGTTAGAAGTTAATATTTTGGAGTTAAATTGAGTTTATTTCAAACATGAAATGTTAATTTAACATTTAAAAAATCTGTGAGGTATCTCTTATGAACATAAATGCAAACATTCTCAACAAAAGATTAGCAAATCAAATCCAACAAAGTATAAAAACAATTATGCACCATGAAAAAATGGGATTTATTCCAGATCTGCAAGAGTGGTTCAACATTTGGAAATCAATTAATGATGTCCATTATATCAAAAAGTTAAAAAAGAAATCATACAATCATATCAATATAAGAATTTGCTTAAATCTGACATTCATGACAAAAACTCTCATAAAAAAACTACACCTAATATCATGTTTAATGGTGAGAAACTGTATGCTTTCTCAGTATGTATTAGGTACTAGGCAAGGATGTCCTTTCTTACCACTTCTTTTAAATATCATACTGGAATATCTACCTAATGCAATAAGAAAAGAAAGAAAAAGGCATACAAATTATGAAGGAAGGAATAATCTTTGAAGATGGTATTATTATTTTGTGGAAAGTCTGATAAAACTGGATAAAAAACCTGGAAACTTGTAAGTGATCATAGCAAGACTGAAGGGTATAGGTAGATATACAAAAGTCAATCATTTTCCTACGTACCAGTAATGAACAAGTGGTATTTGAAGTTAAAAACACAGTATCATTTATATTAGAACCCTCCCCCAATGATATGACTATGTATAGATCTAATAAAATATGAACAGGATATATATGAGAAAAAATACAAAACTGATGAAAAAAATTAAAGAACTAAATAAATGGAGAGGTAATCCATGTTCAAGGATAGTAAACTTTAATATTTTCACTATGTTAGTTCTTGCCCAACTTGATCTATAGATCCAATGAAATCCCAATCAAAATCTCAGCGAGTTGTTTTGTAGATAGCAATAAACTGATTCTAAAATTTATATGAAGAGACAACAAAGATAGAAGAGTAAACCCAATATGGAAGGAAAAGGTAAAAATTGGAAGACTGACACTACTCAACTTCAAGACTTACTTTAAAGGTATAATAATCATGAGAGTATAGTATTGGTTAAACAATAGACAAAATGACCAATAGAGCAAAATAGAGAACTCAGAAATAAACAGCCATAAATACAGTCAACTGATCCTCGATAAAAACAAACCAAACCAAAACAAACAAACAAATGAACAAACAAAAAACTAAGCCAATACAATGGAATAAAAGGTAGTTTTCTCAGCAAATGGTACTGGGCATCTACATGCAAGAAAATAAATCTGGACACAGACTTTTAACTAAAAATAGTCCAAACACCTAGTTTAAAACACAAAACTCTACAAGTCCTGAGAGCTAACTCAGTAAAAATATGGAAAAGTATGTGAACATGCCCATCACAAAATATTGTGGCTAAATGAAAAATAAATATAAAAAGAAGCTTAATATAGTATGAGTCATCAAGAAAATTCTGATTAAGATCATGAAAAGGTAGCAATACGTACATTCCATGTCAGAATAACAACAACAGGCAAAACTGATAATAAAGTTTTGACAAGTATGTTCACAAGCTCACACTCTCATACACTTTTGGTTGGATTACTATCTATGCATTATCTACTAAATCTGACATAGGTACACCCTATGGCTTAATATTTTTTAAGTATATTCCAAATGATACCTACTATTCACTAAAAGACTAAAAGAATGAAAACATTCGAAGCAATACAATTTTCAATAGTCAAAATGTGACATAATCCAAATGTCATTAAAAGTAAAATTAGTAATAATATATAGCATGAAATATTCTATGGCAAGAATTTGTAATCTACAACCTGATGCCACATTCAGAGCTAAAAATCTTTTTGTATTTTAAAATGATAAAAACAATAAAATAATTAGCCAAAATAATAAAATGAGGAATATTTTGTGATACATGAAATTTATATAACATTCCAATTTCCATGATCAATTTTGCTTTGACGCAGCTATAATTGATTGTTTATGTATCTTCTGCAGCTGCTTCTTGCACTGCTACAGAGTTGAGAAGTTGCAACAGAGATTGTAATGCTAAGAAACCCTAAGTTATTTACTATGTTTTTAAATAAAAATGTATTTGTATAAAAAAATTTCCGACCCCCTTCTACATTAATGAATCAATGAAATTTTCTTGCATGCTATGACATGGAAGAATAACACAGCATAATGTGGAACAATTTTAAAAAATGAGATGCAAAGTTTGCACGCAAATTACATGATTTCATGTTAAAAGTTTTAAGTGGGAAAAACTAGCTTATGAAACAGAAGTCAAAATAGTGATTACTATTATCAGGGTAAATAATTTTGACTTCATTTTTGCATCTCCCAGTGCCTTACATAGGTCACATACTTTATAATAATTCATTTATTGATACCCATTAAGTATATCATGACTAATGGGAAGGGAGTGGGAATAATAAGAAAAAATCATGAATGAGACAGAAAGAAAAATAATCATGCAATAGAAAGCCCTGAACAAGGAAAAAAATTGGAGAAATAAAATATGTAGTTTACTCACTTAATACAACAACTAAAGCAATACATGGTATTATAAATAATACAGATAGTGCAGTCTTCTTGACAACATCTGAAAAACAAAAAGACAAATACATTTAGATTAAGAAACAGTCTGGTCTGTTGGACAGAGTGCAGTCTTGTGCACTGAAAGGTCATGAGTTCAGTTTCTGATCTGGATACTTACTTGGGTTGCAGGTTTGATTCCCTGTTGTGGTGCCTGTGGGGAGCAACCCACTGATGTTTATCTCATGTTGATGTTTCTCTCTGTCTCCCCTTTTCTCTTTCTCTGGAATTAATATATACATATAAATATATGAATCTATATATATTTTTAAAAAACAGCTAAAAGCACTAAAATTTGCATTCTTAACTACATCTAACAAACCTCTAGGCAATTTTATTCTGATATTTCACAAGGACATGACACAAATCAAACTTTTCCTGTTTGTTGTAGGAAGAAAATCTGATAATTTTTGGTTGAAATTTCTCAGGACATCCTTATATCTGATCCAAGTGTTACCATGAACTTTACTGGCACAGTCTGAGGAATTAAATATGCACCATTAAAGAAGGCAGAATTTCCTCAGGCCTGGGGCCACCCCCCAGCCTTCACTACCGTCGTTTATGGTGGCAGCTTTCAACCTTTTTCATTTTTGGCACACACAAACTAATTAGTAAAATTCTGTGGCACACCAAAATATATATTATACTTTTTGCCGATCTGACCAAAAATAGGCATAATTTTGATTTATTCACACCAGAGAGCTTGTGTTGTGCTGCCTGATGTCATTTTTCTTTTAAATTTGACAATCTAAGGACAAAGAAGTCAGTGCCCCTGACTAAATAGTCAGGTCCTGCATGTTCACACCATGGCACAGTTTGAAAATCTCTGCTCTGTGGTGACGTATCAGCACATCTTGATGTTCTTTGAATGTTTCTAAGAAAATATACTTCCTAACTAATGAAAAGTGCATGTTAAATGATTGATGGCATAGCATATTTGAAAGATCATAGAATAATCAATCAAAAGATTTGAGATTAAGATCTTTGCCACAAACAAACATTGGGAACTTGGATAAGTCATTTTATTTGTTTCTGGTCCTGTATTTCCTTATCTGCAAAGTCACAGAACAGAATTCATTTCTGATCAGAAATTGGTTTTCTTTCATTAGTGCCCATTTTGGAAAACACAGTACATAAGTTTTTTGAAATGAAATATTTTTTTATTTTATAAGATTATCAAGTATTTGTTCTTATTGCAAAACTTTGTAAAATTTTTAAAAATATAGAAGTTACTTTAAGTTAGACTATAAATTTATGAGTGTTTATCATTCCTATCCTTTTCCCCTAATAAATAACTATTCTTTTGTTGAATACTTTATTCCATAGTATATATATTAAAGAAATGATATTTAAAATGCATCCAAATTTACACTACTTAGAGATGACCAGCATTCCATTTGTATTAACATTCTTACATCTTATGTGGTTCTCTAATCCTATTTTCACACATACAGCCTTTCACCCAAAAGAACCATAAGTTTAAATGAGTACAATTACCTTGTACCCATTGTTGCATAACCCAATGTTTTCAGTTGACAGTCTGTTCTTCCCATGTGTGGCACACAATGAAAAATGGCCTTTAATGAATCATGCGTCCCTCTGTCCACCATCCCTTGCACACAGAATATTGCTACTACTCCCATCAAGAGGTTTATTGCATTTCTTGACACCCAAATTTGAATTGATTTTGTGCCTTGCTTTGACCAATAAAATATGGTAGAAGTGATAGTCTGGGACTTTCAAGCCCAGACCTGAAGAGATACTGCAATTGCAATTTCTGCTTTTACTCATCTGGAGATCAGCCACATCTAAAGAAGTGGGGAGAGAGAGTGACAGAGAGAGAGAGAAAGAAACAGAGAGAAAGACAGTGAGACAGAGAGAGACAGAGACAGAGACAGAAACAAAGAGAGAAAGGAAATATGGTGGATAAATAGCTGAATACAACCACCATTAAGGCTTAAATCTGTGAGTGGTGATATTTGGATCTCCAGTCCCTGCCCAAATATACCTGCTGACATAATGTGGAAGAGACCAGCCATTCCCACTGATTCTTGTCTACACTCCTAACCCATAAAAGTGCCAGCAATGTCATGATTGTTGTTTTAAGCCACTAAAACTTTAGAGTGGCTATTCAGAGCAACAGATAAAGTTATCCATCATGTAAAAATGTAACTTTACATCACAACTTTTTCTTTAAAAATTAGTATCAGATATTTTATTTTTTTCACTTTTTATTAAATCACATTTTGTTGTTATTGTATTACAGTTGTCCCAATTTTTCACCCTTTGCCCTTCTCTACCCATCACACCCCTCTACTCCTACAGTCAATCCCCACACTGCTGTCCATGTCTGTGGGTCACTCATACGTGTTCTTTGTCTAGTCTCTGCCCCTTCTTTGCACCATTATTCTCCTCCCCAACCCCATGGCTGACAATACTCTTTTATATGGCTATACCATTAAAATAAACATTAATTCTCTTCTGATGGATATTTAAGCTGTTTTATTTCTTTTTTAAATTAGAACTAGAATAAATATAGTTAAATGTTTTTGCACACTTATCTATCTGATTAGACAATTTTGAAAAACAAGTATTGATATATATCAGTTAAATGCTTTTCTAAACATATAGTACTAATCTAAACTATCAGGAGTAATACATGGAAATACTAGTACTGGTGAGAATTCACAGTAAAGTAATTTTTAAAGAATATTGTAAAGAAGGAAAGGAAATGAAGAAAAGAATATCAACATTGCTTTGGAGTCATTCAGCTTTTATTATTTCATCTATCTGAGAAATGTAATTATGGAGTTGTGTCTAGTTTTGTGTATTTCTTCCAAATTTTTGAAAAGCCTTGTCCTTAGCTGTGCATTTCTTCTGCTTATCTGGAATTTCAAAGCTACACAATAAGCATAATGTCTAGTAACTGCAGTGCCTCACCATTGACACAGCACTGTGTTTATTTATTCTTTCATCCTTTACCAAATGTTTGTTAATCACCTACTGTGTGCTACTTTCCATTAATATAATAGTAAACAAAAAGACACAATGCATAATCCCTTGGAACATACATTTGAACAAGACTGAGAAACTGGTAAAAATGAATTTAAAATTATAAAATTGCAACAAGAGTGAGAAAGGCAATAAGCAAAGTGCTCTCATTTAAGAAGGGGAAGAGCCTAAAAACGGTAGGCAGGAGGCTCACTCTGGGGAAACTACATTAAAACCAAGATCTAAAATCTGAGCAGTAGCCATCTACATCAAATCCTGCAGGACATTTGGTCCTGCCCAAAATGTTCACGAAGACACTTTAGTTTATGCCTAAAGGTCCTTAGTAGTTGGTCTTGTCCAAAATGTCCATAAAAATATTTGGTATTCACTAAATCCACAAATGGTCCTTTACGTTGGTCCAAAATGTCCACATTTAAGCAAATATGCCTGCGTTCAAAGAGCCCATAACCTTTATTTCTACTTTGGGTTTATAGAATTCATACATTAAAAATATTATCATGTTTTCTTGGTCCAATAGTTGTGTTGCAGCTGTATTGCCAAAATAACCCTTCATGTCCGAGAGCCTCAGATGGATGGGTCTGGGTTCCAATCTTATAGGTGAGCAGGAGTTCTGTTAAGCATGGACCAAATGTTTCCATGGACATACTGGACATTAACCATACCAAATAAACAAAAAAGAGCTTTTCAAGCAGAGAGAACAGCAAATGCAGTTGCCTTGAATCAGGAAAGAAAAGAAAAGAATGCAGCGAAGTACAACAGTGACTAGGTAAGAGATAATACAGGAGATAGATGATATAAGCTTTGAAGGTGCTGGAAAAACACTTGATCTTTTTGTAAATATAGTGGGAGGCCACTGAATTTTTTTTAGTGGTTCTTTGGCATTAGCAGATTCATGTTTTTAAAAGTTCTTGATGAGTACATCTGTCTTTTCAGCCATTTTTGGGGCTGTCATATGGCTCAGGTGACAATTTAAGTTCAAGCTTTTAATCTCTTTTCAAATATTACCTTATTAATTTTTTTCTTTATCAATTTTCTTCAAATATGAGGTATCCAGAAAACAAATACTTGTTTTCCATATCCTTTGCCATCGGTCAGCTTGATATGTCATTATGGCACTGTCTATCGGTGAATTAGTATAGTGGACAAAGAGTTTTATTGTTATCAATACTATAGGTTCAAAATCTTGATTAAATATTTACTATGCACAATTTTATTTTATTACCCCATTTTAGCATATATCTCCTCATGCATTAAATAGTACATATATATATACTAGTAATAGTATATATATAGTATATATAAATAGTACATATATATGTACATGTAATTGTGTGTGTGTGTGTGTGTGTGTATATATATATATATATATATATATGCTGTTTTCAGAAGGTCTTTTAAGAGAAATCATATAAAAGGAAAATTTTCTTATTATTTTTTCTTATGTTACCTGCCCCATCTTTCCATATTTTAATCTTTATGTATGAGGAGGGACAAAAGATTATTTACAGCCATATTAAGTAGAAATTTTAAATGCATTTCATTATTTTAAGTAGGGCAGTCAGGCTCTTTTGGAATATTTTCCGCTTGAGCACTAAAATCTAGTTTTCTAAACTCAGTACAAATATCTTTCATTTTATAAGGCCCTTCTTGCTATTCTCATAAAAAAAAAACAAACAGAAAATATTGGTGTCCCACTATAAATTTAGTATTAACAGATGGTTACTAGACTTAGTGTGGTGAGTACATGGTAAGATAAATATGAGACAATGTCAAATCACTACATCGTATACTTGAAACTAATATAATATGGTATGTCAACTGTACTTTATTGTTTAAAAAGATGAATTTCAAAGAAGTTGTGTTCAACAAAGGAATGTGAAAAACATAATATCTGAGGGCAGCTCAACAAAAAAACCATTTAGCTAACAACTGATAACAGAGAAAAAAATGGGATAATCATGGCTAAGAGAGTTACTTAAATACAGTCTGAAGGCCATTTAGGAAAAGAGGAGGCTATGCACATCTTGCGCATTAGTTCTTAGAGATTCTATTAGGTTGTTAACCTGTTGCAAAATACAGCTCAAGACTGACTTACAACATCCTGGAACATTAAGTGCTATATAGTAACATAAGTATTTGACTTCCATGTGCATTTGAAAATAATGTGTGTTTTAGCTTCTTTAGGATGAAAAGATTATATATATATATGTATTGCTGATATATATATATCAGCAATATTTTCACCAATATGTCCTGTAGAGCAAGGGAAATGAAGGAAAGAATAAACAAATATGAACTTCATCAAAATAAAAAGCTTCTTTCTGCACAGCTAAAAAAAAATAACCGAAATGAAAGGGAACCAACCATATGGGAAGATATATTTACCAGTGATACTTCAGACAAAGGTTTGATCTCCAAAACATATAAAGAACCCACACAACTCCACACTAGGAGGACAGACAATTCAATTAAAAAGTGGGCAAAGTATCTGAACAGACACTTCTCCAAGGAGAACATACAGAGGGCCCAGAGACATATGAGAGGATGTCCAGAATCACTAGGCATCAGAAAGATGCAAATTAAAACCACAATGAGATATCACTTCACACTGGTCAGAATAGCCATCATAAACACATCAACAAACAACAAGTGCTGGAGAGGTTGTGGAGAAAAGGGAACCTTAGTACACTGTTGGTGGGAAATGCAGACTGGTGTAGCCACTGGGGAAAACAGTACAAAATTTCCTCAGAAAATTAAAAATGGAATTGCCTTTTGACCCAGAAATCCCACTGCTGAGATTATACCCTAAGAATCCTGAAACACAAATTCAAAAGAACCTATACACCACAATGTTCATAACAGCAGAATTTACAATAGCCAAGTGCTGGAAACAGCCTAAGTGCCCACCAGTAAATGAATGGATCAAAAAACAGTGGTACATTTACTCAATGGAATACTACACAGCAAAAAGAAAGAAGGAACTCCTGTACTTCATGACAGCATGGATGGAACTGGAGATCATTATGCTAAGTTAAACAAGCCAGGTGGTAAAAGACAAATACCATATGATTTCACCTATAAGTGGAATCTAATTAGGGCAAAATATACAATGAGATGTAATTTAATCTGCTGAGAGGGACAATTTAATCTGCTGAGAAATCAAATTTATAAACAAAATGAGCACTTTACCAAGGAGATTGAAACTTTAAAAAAGAATCAAATAGAAATTTTGGAGATGAAGAATTCAATACAAGAGATTAGAAATGAACTAGCAAGCACAGGAAATAGAGGCAACCAGATGGAGGAAATAATTGGTGTAATGAAAGATAGAAATCTAGAAATGATGCAGAGGAAAGAAGAGATTTAGTTAAGCACAAAAAATGAAAGAGCTCTATGAGAACTACTTGACTACCTTAGAGAAAAACAGTATAAGAATAATAAGCATATCAGAAGAAGAGAGGGAGAAGGGAATGGAGACCCTATTCAAACAATTGACAAGAACTTATCAAACCTATGGAAAGAGGTCGATCCTCAAACCCAAGAAGAAAACAGAACACTATTACCTGAATATAAAGAGGTCTTCTTCAAGGCACACTGTATTAAAACTGTCAAAAATTGCCCTGGCTGGCGTAGCTCAGTGGATTGAGCACGGGCTGTGAACCAAAGTGTTGCAGGTTCGATTCCCAGTCAGGGTACATGCCTGGGTTGCAGACCATGACCCCCAGCAACTGCACATTAATGTTTCTCTCTCTCTCTCTCTAGTTCTCCCTCCCTTCCCTCTCTGAAAATAAATAAATAAAATCATTAAAAAATTTTAAAAAACTGTCAAAAATTAATGACAAAGAAAGAATTCTCAGTGTTGATTGATATGTAAGGTCAAACTTACACAGATTTTATGTGTGGCGAGAAAGCATTCTTGAAATTTTGGTTTAGATATTTTCATGTTACCATAAAATATTTAATCACATTGTTTCCAATTCTCTTTGATCTAACCTTAGAAAGAATTATTAAATTGTAAAACAAGAGTAAAGTATGTATGTGTTCTAATATGAACTGCAACAATAATTTCTGACTTGAACGTACTGATCAGTTCAAATAAAATAAAGTGGCGAGTGTTTAAGACTCACTGCAGTCCCTAAATCATGGATTGGTGTATTTAAATCATTTTAGCTTCATTCCTTGCCTTCTTCACAAAAGTTTGACTATAAATAACCTTGTTGAAGTAATTTTAAAAGATTTTCCTGTAGATTTACAATTGGGATCTTATATATTCTGAGGTTGTAATTTAATACACCCAATAATACCACATTGTTTTCTAAGATTTTTTTGGTACATTATCTTTACTCACCCTTTTTAATGTTGCCAGAGACATCCTAAAATATATCAGGGTACTGGCAATTATTTAAATAAAGGTAAGGGAGGGAGAAAATTTTTCTGCTATAAACTACCTCTGACATCCAGTTTATTTTTACTTCTTCACAGTCCATAAACAATCTTTTAAGAAATTATAAATATTGGACAATTTTTTCATATCTTGAGTGCATTCTTTGCCCTGAATGACTAGATACAGATTATATCTGTATCTAATCTGTTAGATACAGATTATATCTAACATCTCCTCCAGTAATGTTGGTGTTACATAGCCAGCAATGCTAAAAGTGAAACTAAATCTTGAAAAGGTTTAAGCTGTGGTTAATCTTTCTCCATTATTAATTAAGATAAGATAAAGTGAATCTGAATTAAAAGCACAAAATACTCAATTACAAATCTTAATTGTGAAGTATTAAAAAGAAAAAAAGAAAATTATTTTCTTTTATGGACTTGTTATCTAAAAATAAGATTTTTTCCCCTTGAATGATGAAACTGCAAAGCAGTCTTACCTTGCATATTTGCACCAGTCTCTTGGCTGCTGACAGCATTTTCTGGCCCCGGTAGGTCATAGAAGGATATACTTTGTGCCATAGCTTCCAGAACTTTTCTTCAAAGTTTTCACTTTAAAGCAAAGATGTTATAGTTGTTTTTACATCACAGTTTCAAACTATAGTCACACTACTTTTATAAAGGAAAATAAACTTTTAAATGCTGTTTCTTAAAACGAAAGTAACCAATCACATGACTATGACTGAGTCATACTATTGTACTGCCGTGGAAAAAAAAACAGGAAATTTACTTAAAAAAATCAAGCCATCTGCTTCTTCTTTCTTAGAAAAGAAAACTCATAGATACAAACAGTATGATGATAACAAGAGGGATAGATAGGTAGAGAAAGGTAGGAGAGGGTAAAAGGGGGATAAATGGTGATGGATGGAGACTTGACTGGGCGTGGCAGAACACACAACACAGTATAATGATAATGTATGATAGAACTGTATACATGAAACCTATACATTTTATTAATCAATGTCATCCCAATAAGTTCAATTTAAAAATAATAATTTTGAAAATAAAAAAGAAACTTGCAGAAAACCCGAATGTCCTTCTGTAGAGGATTAGAAAAAGAAAGTAATGATACCTGCGTACTATGGAAAACTACTGAGCCATAAAATGAAATACTGCCATTGGCAACAGCGTGGATGGACCTTGAGAATATTATGCTAAAGAAAATAAGTTGGTGAGAAAGAGCTAAGCACCACACGACTTCAGTCATATGTGGGATTTAAAACTGAAACTCATAGACACAGACAGCAGTACACTGGTTACCAGGGGGAATGGGTTAAGGGGTTAGTAAAGGGTAAAGGGAGCCAAATATATAGTGACAACATGATTTTTCTTTCAGTGGTGGGTACACAATGCAATATGCAGATCACGTATCATAGAAATGCACACCTGAAATCCATGGGACTCTACCGACCAGGGTCACCCCAATACATTAAATTAAAAAAAAAACTAAAAAAAGAATAATAGGAAAATCATATATTCTTTCTTATGCTTTTCAGGAAGCATTCTATTGTTGCTCTAGGTTTAAGAATTTTCACAGACAGAAAATCAACACTTGCAGAAAACATCCTCCATAACCTTGCTCGGCTTCTAAATCTTAGTTTTTGCTACTTTTCAACATATTTTTCTCCAGTACGGATAGTCCTAACATTATCGTAGGTAGTTGGCTGATCATTAATAAGAACGGGAAGCAAAGGGAACTGGACATTGAACATCGTGAACTGGGGACATAAGCCTGCTTGCTTCACCGGGTGGCTATAGCATCACACCCCAGGGAATCATAGCATTGATTGGCCAAGAGGATTTAACACTCCTATCTTCACCCTCTTCAGTGTCAGATTGTTGGACTGTGCAAAGGTAGGTGCTTAAACATAGATGTCTGTCAGTCTAACTACGGGTTGTGGACCTATATCAAAACCCTTAGAAAACTGGGAATTTCACTGGTTATTTTGAAAAAGCACCTGGTACGTTCCAAACCCAAGCTAGGGAAACAAAGAATCTCTCTCTGTTTCTCTCACCCACCAGATAGCCAACTTGCCCCATGTGTTGGCAGGTTCTCTCTCACCCTGGAACTCGTAACCATGTGGCTCAAGTAGCTTTTGGGGCCCACAGCAGACAGTGTGAGCTTCAGAAAGATTAAGCTTCAATGTGGAGCAAAAACTCTGGACACTGGTTTTTGTGTTGGCCTTGCTGAGGACATGGTTGAACTTTTTCCTTGGGGGGAGGATGGACAGAAAGAGGACACAAGGACAGCCTTCACTTGAAAAAACCTTCTTGCCATACCACAATATCCCATGCATGTGTCCTTGGAATGCTTTCCTGGAAATCCCGTGGCAGAACTTTATTTCTACCAACAACATTTGGTGGGACAACAGGAGTAAGAGAAGCTGTGGCTGATCATAAGAAAACCTGCTTTTCTCCATGTTATATTCTCTCTGTTCTAACCTGCACAGCCCAGACTGTGTCTTAGGAATGCCCTGTCCTGCGCGCAAAATGGCCCCAGTGCTGTGAGTCCCTGCAGGGTAATGGGCAGATGGGTTTCAGGAGACCCCAGAATGTGGGGAGTGAGCACACACCCACTGCTGCCTTGGATTTTACTCCTGGTGTACCAAAACCCAAGCATGCCCAGCTGTTCCATCCCCATCCTCTGTGGCAGCTTTAGCCTAGCTCACAGAATGGGGGACTTCCTTCAGTCAATGCTGAGTCCAGTCAAGCTGTGAGCACCACAGACACATAGCTCAGTTCCTCCTTTGCTTCTGAATGCCATCTCCCTGCCCTTCAGATTGCACAGGCTCCATGCCTCCTGAGGCTCAGCACCCCAGCCCCGCCCTCTCCTCAGCTCTGGGGTCCACTCTTCAGAATGAGACTTGAGAATTCCTTTCCTTTTTTTCGGAATTCCTTGTCTTTCGACAGTGTCAGTTACTGGTGCCCCTTGTCCCACAGGCTTAGGCCAAAGCTCTGTGGGTCCCAGCTTCTATGGAACCTGGGTCTGCGCACCATGGAGGGAGAGGTGGCAAAGAAAGCTAGCCAAGACCTATGGTCCAGCAACTAGCAGCCACGTGTTGCTAAGGCAGCTGTAGCCATAGCTGTGTTCTGCTCATTGGTCACCACGGCCATGTAGTATGGAGCCTGGTAAATCTCAGCTTCTCCTGCAAATGTAGCTGCCTGTCTGTGCCTCTGGGGCACCAAATTCTTAGTCCTCACTAATGCTTCTACAGATATACAATAAGTAAAAAGCCTTGGATGCAGTTACTCACAGAAAATGGCTACCTCACCTTACCAAGCCTCCTACAGGACAGAGGCTGCTAGAATTTGCCCAACTGCTTAAGGTCAGTTAGGAGAAGAGATTTCTACCCAAGGCAGTGGAGGTACTAGGCACCCCTTACTGCTACTAGGGTAGACACCTCCAAAAATGTCAGAGGCCGTCAGAATCACTCATGTGGAGTTAAATAAATAAATCCAATTAAACAGTGCTTGCTCACCACTGACTTTTAATAAGGCTCTACATATGGCAATACCTAGACAATTGTATTGCCACTTGGGGAAGGCCCCTACTTCCAGTGTGGGAGGGGCAAGGCAGAGGCTATGGGAGGGACCCAACAGCTGGCACAGGCGGGATCAGGCTGTGGAACAGCCATAGCCAGCAAACAGGTCACAGGCCATCCCTAGCTTTTGTCTGACCAAGGCCAGGGAGCATGGAGAATGCTCATGTCTCCCTCAAAAAAACAGTATCTCCCTCTTTTATGAGAATAAAAGCCCCCCCCCATTTACGAGAATAAAGTTTTCTCTCCTCAAAGACAGTAAGCAATATAATCTCTATCTACAATGCCTCAAGGGACCCCTTCTAGAGTGCTCTCCACCTGAAAGGGCTCTTGCATAATTGGCTTTGTGAAACCAAAGTCTGACTTTAAAATGCAAATAACTAGTCTCCAAAAACTCTTATCTGAGTCATCTTTTTAAAATGCAATTTCTTGGAAGATAAATTTTATCAAGAGTGAAAAAAGCTTAGCCATCTGAGAAAATCAATTTAACTTAGTTCACCTATAACCTTCTAAACCAGTGAACTTTGTGCTATAATACCTATGTCATGAAAATTCGTCTCTCAAAAGTGTGAATGTATTTACGAGTAGAGGAGTATATATGTTTAAAAATTATGAAATGTGTTTGCCAATCTAAAGAATGCTAATTGCCTACTTTTAGAAGTCTAATACAGAGTTAGAGTTTGGTCTTTTTCACTCTGTTAAAGGGTCAGTTTTTTTTCTTTTGCTTTTTATTTTTCATCCTAGCTGATCCCTCCAGATTTTGCAGTTTTTAATGAGTGAGTCATGGCAATAAATTTCTTCACATGAATCCAATCAGATTAGTTTCCAATTGTGGTTTTTATAATCAAGACTTTGACTGGAATGTCATGTCTAAACATTGGACATGAGGGGAGATAACCTCTCTTGTGTGGTCATGTCATTTTGGATTTTCACTCAATTGGAATGCTTTACATCAGGATTCATAATTGAAACAGCCATTTTGGGTTCTTTCAAGATCTGTACTATAGTGTCAATAATTCCGTTCCTACTTGTTCCAGCTTATTCTTTTTAGATGCAGCAGAATAATGTGCAGTGGCATAGTGACCTTCCATACCATTTATTGGAACAGGTGTCTTACAGACTTAGCAGCAGCCTGACCACAGATGTAATGAAGCCTCCCACCAGCCAGAAGAGCCTGGACATTGCAGGGAGTCCATGTGCTCCCAGGCAGCTACTGGAACTTATATATTCTTATCTCTCAATAAAGAATCCACATCTGAACCACAGAGCAAAACATATTCAAGCAGAAAAATTTTCAATTCCCCCAGGAGTGGTACATAACTACTGTTTTTCCAGAACCACAGGAGATAAAAATGTGAATTAATTAAAAGGCATGTTTTAGGACTTTATTGCTTCATCATCATGTGTTAAGAAAGTCCATCTAAAAAGTGTTTAAAGCAAAAAACAGAAAGCTATGCTTTAAACTGGCTACTGAAACAAGGACAAAAATAACTTTTTCTTTCAAACATAAACATCATATGAACACACACGTATGCACACACTCACATCACAAAGAGAGGAAAAGAAAAAGGTAGTTAAAAATATTCAGAACGTTAGCATGAATATTCAGGATGGTAATGTTATGCTAGTGTTATCAGGACACAATTTCCTTTTCAAATCTGTCCTCATCAGAATTTTCAAATTATTTCTTATGAGAAAGCAGCCGCCCATGTAATATGAAAAATAGAGACACTTACTGAAGAAGATTCAAGCCTCAGGACCTCACACAATTCTTTCAGTCACCATCAGCTACCCTATCATATTTCCCTGATGGTCTGAAATCTCTTCCCTTTCAAAGGTGATTTTAGTTTGGGGAAAAGTCATAAGCCTCAGGGTGCTAAATCTGGGCTGTAAGGGTTCTGAGTCACCTGAGTGATTTGATGTTTCACCAAAAATACATCTTGTGCAGTTGCACAAGATGTGATGCATGAGTGGGCATGTTATGGTGATGAAGCTGCCA